TTGAGTTCGCTGTTTAATATGGGAAAGATAGAGCTCAGAGTTATTTGAAACTGTATATTAGTTATAATCTTATCTATGAAAGAAGAGTGTGAAAGTTATTTTTTTTTATATTATTTAATTCTTTTTGAAAATTTTCTCTGGAAAGTGGAATATTAAGTAGTCTGGATAAAACAATGAAAGGCAGCCATTTTGATTTGAGTTATTATGTATTACTATGAGGGATTATGTTGAATAGAGAAATCTAATTTGTTCTATAATTTAGTTATAGTGAAGTTCAGAAAGTTTAAAGAATTATCTAGTTCCAGCTAAATTTTATACGGTTATTTATGGAGTTAATATGATTTAAAAAGGAGCCTGTTGCCTCTCCGGTTCAATGAAAAATTGATTTTAAATTTAATGCTCAATTTTATATCGCTTAAAAAGGATTAATTATTGGAAACACACTTAGTCCACTACTTGCAGAAATTTTCATGGACAATGCAGAAAATCTTATCCTCTGAATAAAAGAGTTCTTCGGCGGTAGATGATGTTTTTGCTTGTTTTACTGGAATGGAAAGACAACTGTAGTCCTTTTTGAATCATATTAACTCCATACATAACCGTATTTATCATAGAGACGGAACTAGATCATTCTTTAAATTTTCTGGACTTAACTATAACTAAATTACAGAACAAATTAGATTTCTTCATTTACCGTAAACCCTCACACACAGGCATAGTAACACATAACTCAAATCACCCTCGCAGACACAAAATGGCTGCCCTTTACTCTTTTATCCACAGACTGCTTAATTTAATTTAATTTTCACAGAAAGTTTTTAAAGGCCTGGTGTTGCCGAAATAGCTGTCATAAACCCATAAATAACTGTGAAAATGTTTTCTCTTTTACCCCTATAACTTTTCTCATGTGAGTATCCTGTTCTTTTAATAGCACTATAACAGAATTCCGGGAGGACTTCCAAGGAATTCCTTTTTTTACAAATCTACTCTGTACCTGCTTATATGCTGTTTGAGGGGGGTGGAGCTATAGGGGGGAAATGAGTCGTGGTTAACATTGCTTAAAGATTTCTATTGATTCTTGGACTTTTCTTTGGTAGAAATATTGATTACAGGCAAAAACTAAATTTCTTGCATGTAATTATAGGTCTTGCATCAAAATCTCTTAACAACTAATCTTTTCCGCGACTCATTTCTTTACCTTTCACCAATTCAGAAATCAGCGAGTAAGTTTCAATTAAGCTCTGAAGAAGGTGACAAAATGATTGGCGAAATATCGGAAAGTTCGATTAATCGACAACCAACGCAGAAGTTTTGAAAATAACATTACATTCTCGTGTTTAAGTTTCTTTGAAATATTGGTGTACACTCTTTCTTCTCAGATTTTTCTCTCGGGTTTAAGTTCATCTGGCAATAATTTGAATCTACTCTCGTCTAGGCGTAAGCTTTAGTCAATTTAAGAGGTTTATAAAGTACGGTGTTTTTTTAAACCTTTGTTTGCACCTCGTACTTAAAGATAAATTTTGAAATTGATGAATGAGCAAAAGTCAAAGCATGTATGTGCAGTTAGAAATTGCCTTTTAGTCATCCTTGCCAATATTTTCTTAAATGGTTTGTATTTAAGAGTAAGAATATATTTTCCTTTGAAAGAATCAACAGGAGTTGCATTTTTATCAAATCAAAAAGATGTATTTTTGTCTTTTGGTTAGTGCATTTTAGTTAGCCAAACTAATATTATTTCATTTCTTGAGTTTTTTGCGCCCTAATTATAACCCAGCAAAATTTTGTTATATATTTCAGAATATAAACAAAAGCTAAATTAAAAATGAAGTATGTCGTATTTCCGAATAAAATTATTGTTGTAAATTGTAACAATTGCCTAATCCTAATTAAATAATCCGGAATGTACTTCTTTTAAGAAATACAGTCTTTTTAAAAGTTGTCCTCCAGTAATAAAATCAAGAATAATATATAATTTTAACAAACGGTTAACCACAATAAATAAACGGGCTGCGCGAAATACGTACTGTATATGCCTGCTTCATTGAGTGTTATTAAGTAATGCCAATGGCCGAGAAGGGAGATGGACAATTTTTGTTGCGAACGCCTGGGAGAATATCTGTTTTTATTCTGTTAATGTCAAGACTTACATCAGCCCCGACGGCAAAAATGACAATTCGTAGGCACTGCTGATACACGCGACCGAGTTCTCGAGCCGATTCGAAACTTATAAGGGATGGGGGCTAGTTTATTGACTTAGGGCGTTTAAATTTTCGCGAGCAAACTTGTTGAGTCGGTCTTGATAGATATAAAATTGCCGGAATGTCAATAAAACGGGTCGGAATTGAATTCCGCCGAGTCTTGTACGAGGAAGTGTACAAATCGAGATTGGCCTCATTTACGGATCTAATGCGTTACGTGACCGAAATGACGTAGAACTTATACTTACGTCACAAGTGCCTGCGAAGTTTTAACACTAGTAGTGGTTTGGAAAACCTGGAGACGACAAATTCGCCATAGATTAGAAATCCTTGAGAGAATAAAGAAACTAAATTCTCAATATAAAGAATTAAAATAATAATGTTGTTATTATTAGAACATTAAATAACGTGTGAGAGATATCATTGCTAACACGAGACTTGCTGATTTGTTTGCTTTTCAGTGTATGGGATAATTGGGATCACGTCTTGTTTTTACGGATTATTTTGTTTATTTGTTAACAAATAATAATAATGATTATTTGTAGAATTTCCTTTTTATGGGATTTATCAGAACCTTCATTGATTTATGCTGAACGATATTTGCTTGATCCAACCCTCATGTTTGTTTACTCTTTTGTTTAAGCGTCTCCTAACTTGTTTCTGCTTTTTTGCGTGCAAATTCCTTACTTTTTTTACTTATTTAATTGTTTAGGACACGCATGTCTAGCGATTCTTGAGCCTTTGATCATTTAAATGTAAGGTAACTTTGTTCTAACTTTGATCATTTTTCTCAATTTATTTTGGATTCTGGACTTGACTTTGTAGGTCTTTCGTAAACTTGGCTTTCAACTCTTGTCCTTAATGATGGTATAAACATTAATGAATATAGCATTGTAAGGCGTGACCGTGAAACACGTGGTGGAGGAGTAGCTTTTTATTATCGCAGTGATTTTAAAGTTAGAGAGAGTCTTAGAGCAATTAACTGTTGACTTTCTTACGAATTTGAGATTATTTGAGATTCATGCTCCATTAAAAATAGTTAGAATTAAGAGACACCCACCCCATTGGCTTACTGAAAACCTTACACTTAAATATAGGTCACGTTTACGATACAGATATTGCTCAAAACGAGTACGAAATTTTGTTAACTCCTGTGTGAGAGCCGAAAAAAGGGCATATTTGGTAAGTACATTTAATGGTGATCCTAAAAAATTTTGGCGTACTTTGAGGATACTTCGAGTGCAAAGTAATCCTACTTTAATGACTGAAACCAATTTGGGCCGACCTAATAGTTTTAGTGATGCTTTTACTTCTTTTGGAGCTGTTGGTGGTATTGATCCGGGGTTTGTGTCGGCAAATTATATTAATAACCAATTTGGTCCTAATTCATTCCATTTTGCTAAAGTTTACCCTGAGGAAGTTAATACAACTCTGCTTAGTATTAAAACTAACGCTCAGACAATATTGATATTAAAATGATTCTTTTGACTACTTCGTATCTAGTCGATCATATCACTTTCCTTGTTAACAAGTGTCTGCTGACCGGGGTTTTTCCGGACTCTTGGAAGCAACCTGAAGTTAGAAAGAGTATCCAAGTCTCATTAACGATTTTAAACCAATCAGTTTGTTGCCAACCATCTCACAGATTATTGACAAAATTGCAGCTAAACAACATCGTCACTTCCTATGCGATAACAAAATCCTCCCAGATACTCAATCTGACTTTCGACCTCTTCACAGCACTATTCAACTCTTGTCTCACACTCTTGGACTATAGGAAAGCGTTCGACAAATTGGATCATTTTTTCTTTTTTTTTTTAATTTTCTTTGTCAGAGATACCAAAGGGTAGTTATAGGAAATACTCATTCGGATCGCATTGCTTTGGAGAGGGGTGTTCCCCAGGGGAATATTAGGGGACATGTTCTGTTCTCAGTTTATACAGTTTTATAAACAGACAAATATAACTGAGTATCATCGGCGTATTGATGTCTTGTCGGTGTATTTGTCTTTTGTTGCTAGTGAAGCTTTAAATGCCGCTACTAAAATAAATTTAAATTTAAAAATAATTTCGGATGTATCTGCGGCTCACAACCTTTTATTGAATACCAACAAAACGCAGATGTTATTATTTGGAAATAAAAGGGAAGATATTGTATAAAACGCATCTTTTAAGATTACGCTTAATGATGAGATAATCTCTCCTTCTTCCGACGGATGTAAAAAATTAGGATTACGGTTTAACGGTGACTTGCGATTTTCTAAGCATGTTGCCTCGGTGTTACAAAAATCCTTCTATAAGTTGCGGACATCTGACAATCTCAGAAAGTATGACCATATTTCACAGTGTCTCTCTAATTGGGGTTGGCTTAAGCTTAAGTTCAGTTAGCCACTTTTGTTTTTTTACTAAACTCCAATAAGGCTCCGTCGTACTTGTTTGTTAAATTATTTAATGAATACCTTATGCTATAACTAATCATAACTAATTTAACTCAATACTAAATAATTAGAAATGAAATAAGACAGGTAGAAGAAAGCTAGTACCAAACCTTTGTTAAATTCCGAAGTACCTTCGCACAATCTCATGAAGTCAGTATAACTTAATTACTATTGCATTTTTCGGTTTATTTTCGTAATTCTCTGCATAAGAAAACTTTCTTTGTATTCGAGGATTCGTTTTTGACAGTTCTATTTTATGCCCTGCTGACCTAAATCAGACTTTAGGTTAATTGGTGGAGAGTTTGGTGGGTTTCGTCCCAGTTATTTAAACTAAAATTATTTTATTAAAATTAGTACCACCAAAAATGACCAAGTTTCTTGCAGGCTACTTAGGACTACGCAACCTCCACATCAAAGTACCAAAAATCGCGGCAAGTGGCAAAGACCTAAAACTTCAGTGCACGTTTGATCTGGAGGGGGAGAGGCTATACCAACTGAAATGGTATAGCAAAAGCAAGGAGTTCTATCGTTACACTCCTTCCGATCCGAAGCCGATAAAGCAGTACGGCCTCGAAGAAGGCATCCGCGTTAAAGAAAGCGAATCCAACGATACCGTGGTGGTTCTCGAAGACATTACCAGGAAAATGAGTGGACCGTTTAGTTGCGAAGTTACCGAGGAAGTGTCATTTTTCACGGCTATGAAAACCGCATACCTTGAGGTAACAACTCGCAAATTATTTATTGCTATTAATAATGCCACACGTTTTACTATCGTTTTAAAAAAAATTGTAAATTTTTGTAAACGTAGGTAGAAAAAGAATATGTAAACTTCTGGAAATCCATGGCTAGAATAAAATGTTTGTGTTATTTTATTTCAAAGCTTCTTCAGAGCTAAACTGTATCTGCTTATATATTGTTTGAGTAGCTAAATGAGGGGCATAAACATCGTCTCGCATGTCAGATTCCCATATTGGTGATTTTTCGTTGGTAGAAGAATTGACTCCATGCAAGAATTTTAGTTTTATAGAGTAAAATTTTATGTTCGGTTTCGTGATTATGTTCGGCAATTGCTGATGAGTTTATTTGTCTTAGTCTTAAGGCTCTTTCATGTTCCTTGGTATCTCAAATGGAATTTTGTCTTTGACGGATCGAAGATGTTGAGAGATTTTTGGACAAGTGGTAAATCTGGTTTTGACGTTACATTTCTTTAGAACTTTTGATATGTGGACCATGATATTTTGAATGTAAGGAAGCACAACAGTGGCAAGTGTGGGATTACTTTCGGTTTCATTGCTATTGGAAGGTTGTGGTGAAGTGTATTTTATGATGGAACGGTTAATATCTTTAATGTGGAAATTATTAGAGAGAAAGTGACTCGAGGTGAAATAGATCTGTAAACAAGAGACTTGATAACCGATGAATTTTGGGCCGGATGGTGATGTTATAATACATTAAGGTATCGGTCTGTGCTCGTACATTTTCTATAAACACAAGACTCAATGTTAGGTCGGATTTACTGTTGATAAGAATATCTAGGAATTATTAGTTTCTAATTTAATGGTAAAACGTATGTTAGGGTGATTTGAGTTTAAATTTTTAAGAAAATCTTCTAGGGAATCTTGGCCATGAGGCCAAATAACAAAAGTATCATCGACGTAGCGTTTCCATAATTTGGGTTTTAGATGGAAGACGTCGAGAGCTTAGTTCTCAAAAGCTTTCATAAATGTATTCGCGATGACTCGTGGTAGTGGAGAACCCATAGCTGTTCCCGACGATTATTCAAAAAATTTATAGGAAAAATATGTTCCTGACGAGCAATTTTCAATTAAGGTGAGAAGGTTTGGTTCCAGATCCTCAAGTTTTAATATATCTGAAATGCTGTTGAGAGTTTCAGAAATAGGATTTTAGTCAAAACTAACCAGAATATCTTGTGTATCTAATGTAATGCTTTTTAATTGTTCAATGAAATGAAAGGAATTAAGTACGAAACTATTGACCCTGTAGAGGGTTTTCATAAGATATGCTGGAGAACCAATGGTGCTGACAATAGGTCGAAGGGGTTATCCAGGTTGTGAATCTTTGGGAGTTCGTAGAGACCAGGAATTTTAGAGTCATGACGGGTGACAAACTTTTTAAAGGAGTCGGACAGAGAAAAATCCTTAATAACAGATTTAAGGTTGCGTTCCATAGATGACGTAGGATCCTTTTTAAGTTGTCGATATGATCCATCTCTAAGAATATCTTAAATCTTTTCCTGATATTCATTTGTGTCCATGACCACCGTCATTCTCTTTATCTTAGAGATTTTAGGGGAATGCGTTCAGGCTTTGCAATATTAGATTTAGGCGATTTTGATTTTTTAAAGATTAATGAGGGGTGACGGACTTTTTGATGTAGTTTGATATGGAATAAACCTTAATCATGTAATAATAATCTGAAGAAGCCAACTGGATGATTGGCGAAACGTCGGCAAGTTCGACTCAGCAAACACCGACGTAGGAGGAATCAAGATGTTTTGTAAAAAATATAACAGTATCAAAAATTAAAATACAGGGTTACGAAACATGTGTTGCCTACGACTCGTTAAAACGAAGTAAAGTCCAGCCAGAGCAGTTGTGCAGTCTTTGCTAAAAAAAATTGATCCTGACAGTGCGAGAAGGAAAATTTTTGTCAAAGAAGATTGAAGACACAATTAAGAGAAATAAATATGTAATTCTTTTATTGCACCTTTGACTAGCCCTATCGTATAAACAATCATAGTACAACAATTAACAAGAAATATACTAATGAACAACATGATATGCAAAAAGGATGACTGGAGGCAACTTAAAAAAAGATCATTGTGCAGCCTCGCGGAACCTTTTAGATTCATCTAAATAATTTACCGGCTAAAAACTTAACTAATTTTATTAAAACTGGCTGGTTATATAACCCAAGGAGCTATTATTAAACTTATGATCGAAATCTTCTTTTATTATTATTTAATTTATTATTTTAAGTTCATTTATGAAGTCAGTCGCGTATGTTACTTTATTTGTTAAATACTGGGAGCTATTTTTTAAAATGCCATTAAGAAGTGAAATTATCTGTTTTTCTCGATCGTAAGCCATTGTGCGTCACACGGCTTATAAGTTAAGTTAATATTTCTTAATTTTCTTAAGCAAAGAGAACACAGGATTTTTCTACTTTTTATATATATCGTTGACCTTTCTCAACAATAGATAGCCCATATATTATATCACAAAGTTTTGTTTTATAGTATGTGGTATGATATGCTATCCGAATCGCAGATCAACTAACTTAACTTCAAACATGAGCGTCGCTATCTGGGAGATTAATAACTATGCTTGCAGGTTGTAGATCTTCCTCTAGGAGATTTTTACATCTCCGGTGTGCAAAAGTACTACCATTTGAATGACATTCTCTCGGCGAACTGTACTGTCGAAAAGTCATGTTCCGGGGCGAACATAACTTGGTATATCAACGGTATGCCGATTCGCCACGGCACTTCTAAGCATACCACAAGATCTGAACTTTGTCCAACGTATGTCATTTAAAATAAACGTCAAGAACATTTATGCTACTTAGGTGATTTCAGAGTATATTCGCATTTGCGTATTCGAGTAGATAGAAAATATTTCGCGAATCCGTATTTGAGAGTTCGATGCGCTGCCAGCATATACAATCTCTATCACAACAGCAGAGAAGAGACGGCTTTCTTGTGGGAACGCAGAAAAGTCCTCACGACCACCGAGTCGCCTTTCAAACTCACAGAAAACGACGAATACACTAAACGTAAGTTTTTTCCTTTCCAAGCGATGTTTCAATGTATTAAAATTTCTGTTTCAGTGTTGTTTTCGTTTCCGCCTCAAAGTGACAAGGCCGGATCGCGATTCTGCAGGACTGTTTTGACAGCCACGTCGCTGATTAGTTTATATTTTTTTAGTTGATACTCAAATATTAAAAATAACCTTTAAAAATTAAAAATATATGTGATACGAAACGTTGTTCGGTATGATACGCGATCAGTTACTAACATGCAATGGCACAAAAAAACTACCTACTTATTTTTACTGCAAAGTTGAAAATATGTAAATATGCATATATCTACTATCAATTTAGATAACATATATGCGTTTTTCATTATATCTATTTTTTTTATTTACAAACCCAAAGGCGATCGGGCACGCAAGCGACATTGTCCAATGACGGGTATTAAGCATTACAGGAGGTTCGAAAATTGAGTTCAGGAACTTCTATGAAAGATTCGTCGGGCCCCAAAAAAAAGAAGCCATCCGATTAGGGTCTGGTGAGCGAGGAGGCTAAGCTGGAGGTCCGCCTCGACCTATCCATCGATGTTCAAATGCCTATTTTAATACCTTCGTACAGTCAATGTAAAATGTTTTATCCCCACTGCAAGGGTACTTCTTCAAGCAAAGAGCGTGGATCCTCTTGGAGAAATTGCAAATACATTTGCCCATTAAGCGATCCGTTAGAGAAAGGAGGTCCTATAAGTTTATCTCCTATAATCCCTGCCCATACATTAAAAGAAAACCGGTGATGATGTTTTCTCAATGTTCCACTGATGCATATTTCGAAATTAACAATGCCATCAGGACTGAATGTAGCCTTCAGTGAACAAAATTACATTTAAGTATTGTAAGTACTTTTGAATTTTTGAAGATAATTTTCATGCAAAACTTCCCAAACTGTAGAGCAAGCACTTCTTTCCTGATCAGCAAGTTTTCTCGTACTCGTTGACACATTTTCAAGTACTCTTTCTTCTCTTGCAGCGGTTCTTAACGGATGGAACGTTTCTATTGCGACGAGCCTCGATATAAAGCCGTCGTGCTTGATCTGCATTTCCATTTGCTCTTCCGTAGCAAAAATGCATATCGCGATATTCAGTATCACAATAGCAGTTTCATAATAAACTCTTTTCATAGAAACTAATTTTTAAAGCATTGTGACAATGACTTTTTCAAATTTCATTAAGTCTTGTTACATCAAATCACATTTACAGGTAAAATTCGAACCGAGCAAAAAAAGTCGATTTATGTCTTTAACGCTTATCGACTTAAACTAAGAGCAAAAATGTTTGACGATTTTGAAGAAAATACATGGAAAATAAAAAAAAAAATGTTCCAGCTAAAGTCCCTTTAATGACAGATTACCAGCTTGTTCCGTTGAGAATAAAAGCCACTGCGTTAAAAATAAAATTTAAAAAAATGAATTTTGACAAACTATAATTCGGAAAACATTTCGATTTCGACATTTATTACATGACTTACTACCATTATATTACCATGTTGAATTTTTCCTTCAAGTTTCCGAACTCAATTTCCGAACAACCTGTAAAATTCCGTTGTGGAAAACACAAAAAGAAACATAGGAAGATATGTATAAAGTTAATAGCAAAGTGTGTCAAAAAAAGTTCCGTCTACTTTGTAACTATATAAAAGAAAAGCGATTTGTGCAAGAAAGTGATTCAACAAGATTATTAACAAGTTTATAAAGAAAAATTACATCTGGGCATTTTCTGCTAATTTCTGTGTGTTTCAAATGACCTCAATTTATAAAACTTTATTATTTAGTTATTTCTAAATTCTAATTCCGATGATGCTATTTAAATAAGAATGACAGATTTGTGGTTGATAAAGTCTTCAGTAATACGCGATACAAAACGTAAATTTCTTAGGCCTCTTTTTACAATATTTCAGAGTGACTCGAGTAACTTTTTATAAGTTCTGTATTGACTAATTTTAATTTAATTTAAATTTCGTTTTTTTTTTCTTATAAATAATATTACTTGAAATTTTTGATGATTTTTACAGTAAATAGTAAAATAATTGAGATCAGTCTAGAGCTTCAAGACCGAATGGATTTCATTTCTTACTTCTAAGTTCCCTGCAAATGAAGCTGGAATTTAATATTTAAAAAAATTGCCAATATGAAATATATAAATATTGTAAGTATAGGCGAGCCCTGATGTTACAATCGCGTAATGGAGTTTTTACCGTTCACAACCACAAACTGAGTTCTATTGGTTAGGTAACTTTGCAACAAACATAACAAATTGCTCTTTATTTACTAAAGTGGGGTGAGCCTTGTCAACAGCTTTAGAAAAATCAAATTCTGACAAGATCAAAAAAGTATCTGAGAATATGAGCCACTTCCTGTAGAACTACTCTTCCACAATGTGTCTAGTAAATCGAAAAGCATTAAAACAAGCATGTCAGCAAGTCAGTCATTTTTAGGATACAGGCTGTGAAAATATTTTTTTCTATGATTATTATTATTATTATTATTATTATCATTTATTAATACTGAATCATAAAAAGGCTCACGGTCATACGTTTACAGCAACATTTCTTCTTATTTTGACGTCCTTTTTGATGGCCAAGCATGTTAACAATTGACAAGCTTCTATAACTGACGTCTTCAATGTGCCATTGTTAAAATATAGAGCTGATAATAGTATACTCAAATCTAAGTGTATATTTATGAGTCGAATGTGAATAGTACCAAAAATATCGGAACCCCCGAGTACTATGCACTTCTAATTTTTGAAGCCTTCAAATAGTACTATATTGAAATGTATATAAATGTAACATAAAATAAATGTTGTCGTTGTTGTTACATTATATAAACAAGAATTTTTCATATTGGTATGTCTCTGCTTAGAACTTAAGTGAGAAAACCTGGATTTGCCCCTGGAAAATTCTTGTATTTCATTTATTTTTCGTACGAACTCAAAGCTTTGTACCGAAAATTGTTGCCGACCTAAACCGTTGCTGAAAATATTGTGACGGAATAGTGAAATAAACGTTTTGCTACGGATGAGATTTATTTCAATTTTTCCTATAAGTACCTTTTAAATTAATAACAAAAACTCGCAAAACCTATATTATAGAACTAGCATCATTTTAAGATTTTAAGCTTTAGTTTCCTTTCAAAGCAGAATAAAACTAGGATAGTACATTAATCTTGTCGCTATGTATTAACCGCTAACGCCCTCCCACAGCATATATTATCAAATTCACTTCTATAAAACCATCTGTGGAAAAGGAATGCGTAGGAAAGGAAATCGTATGCCGCTTTTCTTAGCTTTTCTGCTGATGCTGCTATCTATGAAACAAGGGCGAAACTAAAAGAAAATTTCCTATCTCATTTATCCCCTTCCAGTGACGTAAAAGAAAATTGAACAGAGAAAACGGTCGATAGATGCGTATTCGAGTTTTCACAGGGTATGAGAAGCAGAGTTTACCATAATAATTTTCAATCAATTAAGCGCGACGTAGGCAAGTTTATATTATAGTTTTTTTGGGACGGAGTTAAAAATAATTTTTAGCATAACACATATGCGTTAAACACTTGCAACCAATGTAGTAAGTTTCAGTAGATGATAGTTGTGTGGTTGCACTTTTGATGACAATGTGTGAATCGATTTGTGGATATTTTAGGGAAAATAAAAAGTAACTACTGATAATAAGTTGAAATATGGTAATCACGAGTTGAGTCATTTAGGAAAATTGTGGAGGTAATTAGGTGAAATTTTGTTATAAAGTACCCCGAGAAATATTCGAAATTTAGATTCTTAGAAATTTAATTATATTGGAAATTGGAAATTATCCTAGAATAATCCATAGGAAAATGAATAAAAAAATATCTCTGATTGAATTGATATTTTTTTTCTAAATCTTAATAGGGTTGAAGTTATAAAATATAAACAAAAACTATAAAATTCTGAAAGGATCCTCATAAAAAACTAAAAATATATTGCTTTTGGAATGTGTTGTTGATTTGATTAGATTGCTTTATGTTCTTTTTAGATTAGGTGTTTCATTTGTCATTGCATTTTGTCATATCATATGTTCCAGAATTAATTGCATTTTTTTTTGGGTTTTCTTTCGATTGCATCTATTTTTAATGCGTTTGAATTTATTTATTGTTGATATTATTGATTGTTATTGTATTGATATCTTGATTTTAGATACGGGATATTTAAATAGTAATGACCGCGATAATTAGTGGTACATACCCAGATAGCATACAATGTCCGGTCAATGTCCCATTTAAGTCGCATATCCCGAGACATGTGGGGTGTTAGCATATATACTAAGGATATACTGTACAATACATCCCAAGGAATGATAGCTTGTGGATTTACTGTACAAGATAATATATCACAGATATCCTCTAAACAGATAGCCTGAGGATATCCCCTTGGGCCATAATGGGACCATTAGAATAGAAATAAGGGAAAAAAGTGAAAAACAGTAATACAAAATGAAACTTAAAAAGTTAAATTTTGAACAACTAAGAAGGAAAATACTTAGTTTTTTTAGATTTGTGTTTTTTTTTGGAAGATATTTTATTGGCAACGTTTTTGTGCACATCTACATCGAGGTCAGTGTTGGCGAGTCCTAAAAAAAACCGGAATCAAACAGTTAAAATCAACTTGTTATTATTTTTGGACACGAACGAGACAAGAAACGCTATTTTATTAATTACAAATCCCATTTGACAACACTGTTCGGCTGCAATCAATGACTACTCGCGGTCGTGCCGTGCCGGACTCGTTGGAGTCTAATCGGCTTCTCCTCCGTCTCGTGGTGTGCCACCTTTTAAGCCTTGTTTTTGTTGGAGGTATAAGGTATACGGTGACTTGGCGTCTATTTTGAGCATTTGCGTGTGTATTTTGTACTGCTTTCAGTGCTTTCATTTCAGTTATTTTTTTGTGGTAATTGGACTAACCTAATAATTAAAGTCCTCTAGTATATCTATATAAGATCCAATATCCTTATAGTCGGATATACTAACGAAGTCTCAACTAATATAACTGGATGAAAGGATATCCTAAGTATCTGATATACTGTGGACGTTCCAATTAGTAACATGGTATATCCTTGAGACATCTTAAGGATGTCCCCTAGCTGAAACAGTATATCCCTAGGATATACGCTATGTCCTGTCAGATATCCTGAGAACGTTTTACGGACGTCCTTGTGGTATTTGGATAGTGATAATTCGTGAGGTAATTTCTGATAGAACTGGTAACTAGCATATACAGATCCACTATTGAAATTCAACTCGTTTATTCACTCTAAAAAGATAGGGTTTCGATGGGAAATGGGAAAATCAATTATCAAAATTGCATTTGTCACTAATCATTTTCTTTAATACCATCTTTAAGGGATTTCAAGAAATCAATTATTTCTTGTCGAACACATGAGCTCCATTGAAGCTGTAGTCCTAGAAATCTGAAATTTTGGACAGCAGACAGGAACCGCAATAATACTCAGAAAACTTTCTTGAACAAGCGACAACATTGTACTGCTAATAAAACCGCGAATCCCATGTATTATACAAAAGAACTCCGTTCGTTTATATTATTATACTGTAAGCTACGCAACTACTACGCAGCAATAACTAACAGATGGATGTTACGTTATTTAAACTCGTAGGGAGTGAATAATCGAAAAATGGAGTTTCTGAAAGCACTCCTGATAGTATCCGAGAAAGCCGCGAATATCGCGAGACGTATTCGAGAAGACGAACTTCTCTTCAGACTCTTGGTCGAGAAAAAAGATAACGATGAAGCAAATCCGAGATTTGTCGAAGACTTTAAAACTTTGGCCGACGTTCTGATCCAGGAGATGGTTAAGCACGACATTAAGGAACAGGTATAATTTCAAAACACGTTGGACTTTATCAAACTTTACGGTTTCAAATGTCAGTTTCCAGGAATCGGACAGCGGATATGCGGGGAAGAAAGCAACGAGTTTCGCAACCAGCTCGGAGAAAAAATCAAAGTAGAGATCAAACCAAACCTGGAAGAAACTTCGTCGTTGCTATCAAAAGTGTTGAACGGCGATACCGAGACTGCTGATATTCTAGCGACGGAAGTACACAAAACAATAAGTCTGGATGAGGTTAACGCAACACTTCCCGTACGAGACTTTGACTTAAACATTGAGAGGGTGGGCATTTGGATAGACCCAATAGGCAAGTAAGATGACATCATTCATAATCAACTAAATGTTTTTCAATTTTCTCTTTCAGATGCGACCTTTGAGTATATAAATGGTGTGGAAAAGGGTTGCGACAAGGGTATTTATTTGTCTGGGTTAAATTGCGTGACGATTTTAATCGGGGTATTCGATCAAGAGACTTCTTCTTCTTACTACGCCCTCTCCTTTCGAAGGTCGGCGATCCAAATGGCTATTGTGGCTCGGGAAACTGCAGCCCGGAATATTTCTATTGATGAGCGATTAAACCACCTCCTGAGGTCCTTGAGCCACGAGTTTTGACGTCTTCCTATCGATCTTTTACCTTGGACTTTGCCCTCTATTATCAGCCTCAGAAATTCATATTTTTCGCCCCTCATAACATGGCCAAGATACTGCATTTTTCTTTGTTTTATTATATTTAATAATTCGCGAGACCCGTGCATGCGATTCAAAACCTCATTATTGGTGATTTTCTGTACCCATGAGATCCGCAGTATTCTTCTATATATGTACATCTCGAACGCTTCTAGTCTCTTCTCTGTTTGAGCATCGAGTGTCCAGCTCTCGCATCCATAAAGCAAAACAGAGAAGATGAAGCATTTCACCATTCTCAATCTGAGCTCAAGACTTATGTCAGATCTTATGAAGAATACCCTCATGCTCATAAATGTTCTTCTCGCCTGCTCGATTCTCGACAATATTTCCTTCTTCGGATTACATTGACTATTGATATTGGCTCCCAGGTATTTGATTGAGTCGACTTGTTCAACTGGCTTCCCATTAACATTTAGATGTACATGAGTAACCGTTTTTGAGAACGCTAGTGTTTTGGTTTTGGCGACATTTAATTGCAATCCGAAAAAGTGGCTATAATGGACTATGCGATCTATCATGATTTGTAGCTCGGACGGACTGCTTGCCATGACAACAGTGTCGTCCGCGTACCTGATATTGGTTATGCTGATGCCATTGATCTTTATTCCTCCGTTAATTCCATCCATTGCCTCTCTGAATATAGCCTCCGAGTAGAGGTTAAACAATAGTGGGGACAGCACACAACCCTGGCGAACTCCCCTCTTGATCAGTATCTCATCTGATATGTTTTGCTCGATGTTGACCACTGCTGTTTGCCTCCAGTAAAGTTCTGAAATAATACGTAAGTCCTGCTCATCGATACCGGTTGCTGTTAGTATTTCGATCATCTTTTGATGGTTGACGCAATCGAATGCTTTGCGGTAGTCGATAAAACATGCATATACGCTTACATTCATGTCCCTGCATCTTTGTGTTAACACTTTCAGAGAGAAGAGTGCTTCGCGTGTACCTAGTCCGTTTCGGAATCCAAACTGAGTTTCGCCTATTTGCATTTCGCATTTCCTGTATATTCTTGTGTGGACAATTCTAAAAAATATTTTGAGCACATGGGACATGAGGCTAATCATTCTATAATCGTCACAATTAGAGGCATTGACTTTTTTGGGCAGCGTTATAAAAGTTGACTTTAGCCAATCGGCTGGTATCTTGCCCGAACTATAGATCTTGTTAAACAGTGATGTTATCAAATCCAAGCTTTTGCCTTCATTATCTGCTATTAGTTTAAGTGTTTCTGCATGAATTTTGTCTGGCCCAGTAGCTTTTCTATTTTTTTGTGATCTGATGGCGTGCATGACCTCATATTTGGATATTACTGGACCTTTTTCGTTTAGTTCGCTGTTATATGAGGGTGGGGTGTGTGTTCTTTCGTCGTTGTATAGCTGTTCGATGTACTCATGCCATCTTTTCAGTTTAGCATCTAATCCCGTAATTATTTCATTGTGTTTGTCCCTAAGTATTGATGCATGGTGTCGCCTGTGTTTGCCTGTCATCTCTTTTATTCTTTTATGCAGATTAAAGCTGTCATGTTTTGATTGTAGCTCCTCTATTTCTTGGCATTTTGTTATCAACCATTGTTCCTTTGCCTCTCTGCATTTCTTTCTAATAGTTCTATTTAGTTGTTTGTATTCTGTCGGCTTTGTTTTAAGTTTCCTTCTCTCATTCATTAGGTCCATAATTTCCTGTGTCATCCACTCTTTCTTCCTGTCGTTCTTTATGTAGCCGATGTCCTGTTCCTCTATGTTGGTTATTTTGTTTTTAAATATGTTCCATATCGTCTCTATTTCCCTTTCTGGTGCCAAACTGACTGCTGCTTCTATTTCACTTTCTATTTTCAAACTTATTTCTTGTTTCTTTTTGGTGTTATTCAGTTGTGCAAAGTCTATTTGTTTTGTGATCTTTTCCCTTTTGGTATTCATAAATCGTTTGAGTTTGAAGTCTATCACCACAGGATTGTGGTCACTATTAATGTCTGCGCCAGGGTATGTTTTCACTGCTTTTATGTATTTTTTGAATTCCTGTCCTATGAGAATAAAATCAATCTGGTTTCCGATAATCGTCCCCTCTCTGTCTGCAGGTGATCTCCAGGTATATAGTCTTCTGGGGTGAAGCTTAAAAAAGGTGTTAGTTATGATTAGATTGTTTTCTACACAGAACTGTATCAGTCTGTCGCCTCTTTCATTGCGCGTTCCAAGACCGTAATTCCCTACACTATCTCCATCAGAACCACGGCCTACCTTGGCATTGAAGTCACCAATAACCATACTTATTTCACCCTTCCTTGTCAGTCGCATGGCTTCATCAACTTGGGAGTAGAATTCTTCCATTTCTTGGTCTGATTTGTCCTGTGTTGGAGCGTAGATCTGGATTATGTTTAAATTTCTGTGGGTTGTTTGTAGTTTTAGCATCATGACCCTATCACTTAGGGGAATGAACTCTGTCACTGACTTTGCTATTCTCTCTGAGACAAGTATTGCCGTTCCATATCTATGGTCCGGATCAGTGCCTCCTGAATAGTACATGGTCCCTCTTTTAGTTTTTTGTTTTCCAGAGTTAGGCCATCTGACTTCACTCATTCCCATGATATCTATGTTCAATCTGTTCATCTCGCATTCAACGTTTGTAAGTTTTCCTGCCATAAATAAGCTGCGTGTATTCCATGTGGCAATGCGGACGATTTTACCGTAGATTTTGAATTTTTCGCTGTCTCTATCTGCATATTTCTCACTAGTGGAAGACGGGGGTATTCTTCGCACCCTCTCCCCACTTAAGGGGTGCCCCGGACTGAGGGCCGTTTTTGTGTTTTCTTCAGCCATTGAGATTTTTTGGAAAGTATAATACAGTAAGAGTTCCGTTTCTTTTCTGTATCGCAGTACCACAACTATTAAAACTGCTGCAGTCATACTTGTAGTGATCCAGCAATGAGCCGGTCCAGAATCATTTTCTTTGCGCCCCATCCTGGTACTGGTGGTCGCTGCTGCCCTCCACCAGGGATATTTATTGACCTCCCAGTCTAGATCCGTACTGTTCTGCGTTAACAGGATCACCTCGAGTAGGATGTGGCTCTGCACCACGCAGTACGGTCCTGGCTGAGGAGAGGCTATGTGTGCTTTTAGGCACGGACGCGTCACCCAGCCCTGGTTGTCATGAGGACCAGTGCCCAGTCATCCCGAAGCAAAGGTGCTACCTCTCTAACAAACCTTGAACCCATCAAGAGACTGGAAAGTCTATTATCGGGGTGATCAATCGACCGTTTCATAAGGATACCTCCAGGTGATTTCTCTATTTTAGATTTTGTTTTATTTCGCTTGCTGATTCATTGTTTGTCATAGCTGGGTGCAATATAGGTACTGTTTTACAATTGACAACTTTGAAAAAGAAACATTTTTTTCCTCTGTTACTCTGTTAGGAACTTACGACCGCTGTAACTTGGCATACGTTAGAACTACGATATTGAAACTTCCCCCTTTTAAGTCCAGAAATTGGGTGGGATCAGACAATGCAAAGGATTTTTTTTTAATTTTCGAAGAAACTTTTTTTTTGTTTTTTTTTTCTTGAAAACCATTGGATCAATGGGAGAAACAATTAAAACCGAAGACGCGTGAAATACGCTTACCAAAAACTTTTTTTTTCCGTCTCATGCCATGAAATTGCAGCATACAAAAACCACAACATTGTAATTGTTAATTTCTTTCACTACCTTATATAGTATGACCAACAATCTGTTCAACTCATTAAAAACGCATATTCACTGCCCTCGAACTGGACTATTGTTCAAGGTGTGAAATAAGGCCAATAGCAGTGCTAAAAATATTCCAAAATTTTCGATACAACTTGAAACAAAAACAGGTACTTTCTCAGTGACTCGTGGGAATAATCACTTTGTAAATACGAGTACGTCGCTACCCTCATTCAACCACCCTCTGGGTTGTTTTGGTAATGAACTATTCCGATTTCTCCTCATTTAAGGTTTTCGTATGTTATACGGGGTTGCGAGATATTCCGCGGATTGTTAATAAATACAATTGCCTGAAATTTGCAGCTATCGACTTGAAATTTAGCAGTGGGTAAAACTCCACGCCCAATATATAAACGATAAGTTATTATTATTATTATTATTATTACAAAGAATAAAGTGTAGAGGAGAACCTATTATGCACATTGATAGTTAGTAACATGAGAATGCTAGTATATAATAAATATTTAGTTATTGCTGTGAAAGAATACACTGTCCAAGCGACGTTTAAATACAGACAAGTTCGGCACACACACAAACTGTTCCAATAATCGAAAGTCGTGTTACTTATAAAATGCAGGCGATGTGAACTCCTGAATTGTTCTTTTCTTATTTTAAATGGATGACCACGTAGGAGTTCATCATTGCTTAAGATCACAAAGGCACATCAGATGGAAATTGGTCATGCGCAAACCTATACATTTGAATGAGATACTCTAGCAGCCAACGCTGACTTAATGTTGGCAAAGTATTTTGAGACGGTCATCGTAAGGTGTATGTCGAAGTTGAAGTGGTCAGCGCGTAGCGGTTCGTTGCACTCTTTCCAGAACATCACAGTCACGCAATAGTCATGGATTCCAGAGTGAGGAAGCAAATTCCAGGATGGGTCGAATGTAAGTGGAAAAAAGTCTGCAAGCGATGCGAGGACTAGGATTTTTAAAAGATTTTTTAACAAAAATAAAGCGCAGTTTGCTTTCTTTGCAATATTTGACACATGGACAGACCACGCAAGATCATTAGTTACTGTCACACCTAGGTCCATCTGGGAATCGACACATGACACAAAGTTTCCATTGATATAATAATTCAAACCGGGATTGTTTTTGCCAACATGCAGCACAGAGCACTTTTGAGCATTCAGCGGCAATAGAAAAGTTGAACACCACTTGGAAATAGTATTCAAGTCTCTGCAACACGTCTGCATGTGTTGAACGATTTTCAAATAATTTAGTGTCATCAGCTAAACGCTCACATGAGAATCAATGCTGGGGAGCAAATTCACGGTATACACTAACAACAGCACTGGTCTCAACATCGATCCGTGGGTAACACCACTAGGCACTCTGAACGACCGGTGGCTTAAAAACGATGCTATTCACTCTGGCAGTTTACCCCCCACTCCCACCTTTTCAAGTTTGAAATGCTGGACGCAATCGGAGACAGAAGTATTTTTTAAACAAAATTGGTTTTTTTTTTGCTAAACCATTCACTGGATCCGAAAAATCCTTGTACCAGAAAACGGGCGAGATCCTTTTATTTATTTCGAGCATTTTCCCAATTATGTAAGGTGTGTGATGGTTTGGTCCAAAAAATTAAAAGTCTCTTAAAATTTCCATTTGATGAAAATTGGTAGCCCCAAATGAAAGGCCGTGAAAAGAGGGCAAAATGATTTGAACGGTATGTGTTACTATTTTCATAGTTACATACAAGCGGCTCGAAATATTTGGAAAAATCCTGATTTGGAAGTTGCGTCGAGAAATCTACATTTGCAGGAAAAACAGCGGATTCGTCTAAAAGAAAGTGGTCTAGTTCTTATATATTGGTTGGATGAAGAAGAAATATTAAACAACAATTATGAGGAGATTTTGATATAAACATTTTATTCTTTAAACCTACCTAGCACACTTTCAAATAACAGCAACAATATATTTGCAACCTATTAATTTTATAAGGAGTGCTTTTATTTTGCTAGTTTAACTCAATTGAAATTACCTGTTTTGCTTTTCATAACAAACGACCGGCTTTCGACATTACAATTTAAATACGATAAAACGGCACAATCAATTAACTGTTAATGCTTTATTGTAGCTTATGCCCACTAAATGTTCAAGGATAAAAAGCAAACATTATAAAATATTTCCAAACGGACACGTTTGTTTACTGTCAGCAGCGTCACCATCGCAGTATAAATTCGGGGTGATTTATTGTTGTTTCGGCAACACCGTGCCTTTATCAAATATAGTTATTTTAGCATTAACGTCTAGCCAGCCGGTGAACTTAGCTCCCAACGGGAATTGATTAATCAATACTCTTTAGCAGACCCATCAACACCAATAAAGTTATCAAAACTAAACAACAATTACTAGCTAATTTTAAATCCTTTACATTTAAATGTCTAGGGAAAGCACACGAAGTCGCTGTTCATAAAAATTCGGGAGCTAAGCCACACGCTGTTTATTCTAGCTATCCGATGGGTATCACGAATCATTTTGCAGTCAGAGATGCATATGGGGAGTGGCTCTCAATTGCACTACAAATTTATCCCCCTTCGTCGTTGCTAACACAAAAGCAAGCACCAACGTTATTTGCTTGAGCAGCAGCGAATCGCCAGCGATCAAGGAAAAACTAAAGTCCGCGGGTTATGAGCTCGTCGAATCATGCGGTGCTGGTTATAAAATGCTGACCGTCATACTCGGACTGGCCGACGCGTACATTCTATCCAAGCCGACGACTTATTTTTGGGATACCTGCGCGCCGCAAGCAATTCTTCGAATGATGGGAGGTGACGTGATCAGATACGACGAGGCGATGATGGATGGTTCGAGAGTTGAAGTGGAATACGCGTTTTGTACTTCGAGATGCAACAATGGAGGCATCATAGCCTACTCCAGCGAGAAAATCTTGACCGATGTAATGAGCGCCCTCTCGAGGGAGTAAACTGTAGATCAGACGGATCTTTGTGCCGCGTACATTACATCAGTGCAATGTAAACTTTGATCGTACCTTATCATCTATAAGTTATTTGGCAATAGAGTAAACAAATATGTGATATTACCAACTCCGTGGTTACATAATTAAAGCAAATAAATTGCAAAACTAAGGGTAATTATTTGAGGGAATGATTTTTTCATGCAATTAATAACATTTATTCATACGAAATTATTGTTGAATTATATTAAAAACCATTTACTGTGCGCTCTCTAGTCAAACAATCATGGACGTAACAATGTTAATACATGGACTGTATGTAAGCTTGTCAATGTTCATTATTGCATCAGCAACTTTAATATATTTCCTTTCAAGATTTTTCACTCAGTTTTATTATTTAAACCTGCTTTTTCAAGAAATAAATCATTTCCAAATTATATTTTTAACACCACTCTAAACATTTCTTTTTATTTTATATAAGGTATTAAAAAAGTACTTTGCAAAACTTTAAGAAACGAATACTTAGGTCCAAAAATGCACATGCAAAATTTTCTAAAAAAATAGTTTTTTTATAACTTCACTTTCGATATTTTTTTCAAATTTGGTGTACATCTTTTAATTATTGAAATTATTAAAATAAATAAATACAAAAAATTAGCTACGAACAGGAGGACGTTTATTATTAAATAATGTTAAATATCTTTAAACAAAGTACAAGTAATACTCTTTCAGAAAAAAACAAATTAGAGCAACTGCTGGAAATGACCTCCCCCGACTTTGATATATGCGTGTGTACGCCTTATTAGGGACTGGCGAACCCTTAAAACACCAGGGGTGTTCCTAATAACTGTACAAGAGTTTTCTATCTTATTTCTTAGATCTTCTTCACTTTGGACTGGTGTTGTGTAAACTAATGTTTTTAACTGTCCCCAGAAAAAAAAATCTATTTCATTTAAATCAGGTGGCCAAAAATGTGGTCCAGCACGCCCAATCCAATGATCAGTATAATTTTCATCCAAATACTGACGTGCTACTAAACTGAAGTGCGGTAGAACTCCGTCACACGTAAACCACACAGAACGTCTTTGTTCTTGCGGAACATTCTGAAAAAGTTCAGGTAATACATGTTCAATAAATTGTCTGCACTGCTCACCAGTAAGACTGCCAGGCGGAAAGTCAGGCCCGATAAGGAAATCCCCTATAACTTCAATCCAAACATTTACCGAAAATTGCTCCTGAAAATGGTTTCAGAAAAAGCAGTGGCGTGCCATTTTTTTCTTTAAAAATATTTAGTTCAAACCGCGTACGGACGCCACTAGTAAAAATAAAACTAAAACGTTTGTGTCAAAAACCGCCTCTCTATAATTAGAAGATGTCCACTAAATTTGATAGAAATATCGAAAGTGATATAAATGTTATAAAAGGAAAAATAAATATTTTAGAAAATTTGAACACCGTGTATCTTGACAAATATACATTTTTTGACCTATGTTTATTTGAATGCTTCATCGTAAAATCACACAAGGAATCGTTTCTTAAAGTTTGGCAGCGTACTTTTTTAACACCCTGTATAATAAGTTTAAAAACATTTTAAAAGCTAAATAGGTTAGGGCATAGGTTGATATTATGAAATTTTCTGCTTAACATAGCACCCTATATATTCTATGTAACTCTTTTTTTCTTTCTCTTTCTTCTGCGTATGATAATTACAATAGTTTCTTAATTTATAATTAAGCCTCGCCTAAAATGCATAAAAATTCATTTATTGTTGAATAAAAAAAATTATAATATACCTGACACTCTCTTTTTGAGAAACCAAAAGAAAAACATTCAAAGAGAGTTTTGGGTAGTTTAAAAGATACATTTTCATGTAAATCTTAACATAAGCTAGTTTTATATGGGATCCAGTCTATAATAAAAATATAGGGTATTTCATTTAAAATCCCATAGTCAACACTGCACTAGCAGAAACATTTTTAAAAAAATTATCTCATTAATTCATCATTTTATAGAGAAACGATAGGAAAAAACAACATTAATATTGAATGAATAAAGGACACATAAAGAAACATATTTGGTTGATGTAAGATTTGTTTCTTTTTTACCTTAACTTATTGCCTATTTGGTACAAAAATACTTTCACATTTCATTTAAACTATTTCAATCAAAGAATTAAACAAAGAATTAAAACAGCAAACAATCTTCACACCATGCAAAAACCTAATGTGAAATCATAACTGAAGGCTACCTTTATCACTGCTTGTCCCATAATACTGCAAATATTCCTTTTTACTTTTTGTAAGTATATACAATTTTTGTGTCACAACACCCCTTGAATGCATTTCTTTTAATCTTGTTTTTATAGTTTCTATGCTGCACAAAAAAATTTTTGGAACTCGGCAAATATCATCAGATGTAAATCCATAGCCATATAAAAGATCTGTCATCTCTTTGATTTTCAATAAGCTCTTTCTCCGCAAACGTGGATATTTGTGCACAAATTCTCTAGCAGTTTCCAATGGGCAGCACAATCTTTCCGAAATATATTCGATTACAGCCTCGTCTCCCAATACACTCTTGTTTTCTAAATCTTTTTTAATATGCCTAAAATGAAGCATACACAACTTCAGCAAAACAATAATATATGCATTGTGTCACTTACCTGGCTAAAGTCCCATCTGTACACCTAATCAACCAAGGCTTCTTTATATCAATTTCATGTTTCTTTAGATACTCTAGCTTTGACTTTAACAACTTGGTACTGTACCGTAATATCCACAGGTCTTTTACAACGTCCTGAAATGCAATTCCATGGTCCATTAACAATTTTAGGCTTTCATTCAAGTGATCCTGATCAACTGTAACTAAAAATGGTTTTGCTGCTATTATGCAACAAGTCTCCGGTAGTGGTAACTACAAAACTTAAAGCATTACATAAATATCATTATAGGGTGAACAATTTGCTTACTTTAAGAAATTTAGAGAGCTCATCAATTCTATCATTTTCACAGAGCCTCTTGATAGTTGCTAAAGATAATTTGAGGAGGGGCAAAGTCACTTTCATTGGGTGAGGCAAAGTCTTTAAAATATCTATTTTCTCCAAGAGATCATTTGTAGCTAACAGCTCTGGATAAATCAATAATTTTGTATGGGATATCCCCGATTCTATGAAATAGTTGTAATTTTTGTCAATCATTGAAGTGGAAGTGTGGACAAGTTCTCTATGTCTTTCAATAATATTAAGTGCGTCTAGTCCATGTATCCTTAACAGTTCTTGAAGTTTAAGCTTTACCTTGTTTAAGGATTTTTCCTTATGTTTTACAAGGTTTCGTTCGTCGTCACAGTCGACCGCTACTTTTGAATAAAACAGAATGCAATTTCTCGACGTTAATTGCGGGGAAACACTGGGATTTGACCGGAGTAATTTATTTAATCGAATAAATAATCTCATTATCAAAGATTTTCTCTAAAGCATAACTACCACATAACCTTTCAATTCAATTCAATGATGCGTTTCACAAAAAACTGTTGGGCAACCTTACAATTAAGTTAATGATACGTTTCACAAACACTGTTGGGCCCGACTGCTAGGATCATTTGCCCATTGCCCACTTCGGTCGAGGATTTTCGCTTCTGGAAAATGACTAACGAACGTATGACTAACGTACAAAGAAGAAAAATAACCAATATTTGCTCAGCTACCAAAAAACGATTTTGACCGATACCAAAAAAATCGGCTTCCTCCCGCTTCCATCGCGGACCATCCGGGCCCATCCGGCCTCCAGGGAACAGGGAAAAACGAGGGGGCCGACGACAATTATAACTTTAAAACATGGAAACCGATATCAAACTTTTGAGGACGAATACAAGGGATTCTGTCGGGAGCGAATCCAACCTTTCAATTACAAGTACAATCCGTTTCACAATTACTGTTGGATAAGACTGCTAGGATCACTTGCCCATTGCCGACTTCCGTCAAGGATTTTCACTTTTGGTCATAGATCAACATGTATAAAGAAATATAACCAATATGTGCTCAGCTAGAAAAAAACAATTATGACGAATACCAAAAAACCGGCCTCCCCGCTTCCACCTCAGACTATCCGGCCCATCCGCCCACCATACCGGCGTGAACAGTCAAAACACCAGAGCCGGCAGAACTTGTAATACTTAAAAACGATTACCAAACAATTCCAAAAGAGAATCATACAAGGGATTCTGCTAGGAGCGAGCGGAGGTTAAACCGCCGCGTGCAATGCCCCACCACAGAATCCAACCTTTCAATTCAATTTAATTATGCCTTTCGCAATTTCTGTTAGGCAAACCTGCTATAATCATTCGCCCATTGCCGACTTCCGTCGAGGATTTTCGCTTTTGGTCATAGTCCAACACGTAAAAAGAAGAAATATAACTAATATTTGCTCAGGTAGCAAAAAAGGATTTTGACCGATACCAAAAAAACTGGCATCCCCCTCTTCCCTCGCATACCATGCGGGTTATTCCGGTCACTATACCAGCGTGAACGGAAAAAAAGACAGGGCCGACTACGAATAACTTTAAAACATTCACTGACCACTAAAAACACTAAATCCACACAATGGAAACAAATTTTAAAATTGTTGGGGACGATTACAAGGGATTCTGTCGAGCGAACGGAGGTTAAACCGCCACATGCAATGCTCACGACAGAATCCCTATCACATAACCTGAAAAATGTTACTTAATTACTCTTGGTGGACGACTTCTCCAGGATCATTTGACCAAGAAGCAACAAAATGGAATATTGACAAATCTTCTTCTTACTTTGGCAAAGATTTTTACAAAGTGGGCCTGTAGCAGTAAATCAATTAAACGGTTTTCCAAAAAAATAAATATTGATATAGGTTCTCATAAAAAAAAGCCAACAGGATGATTGACGAAATGTATGCAAGTTCGACTCATCATCAACCGAAGCAGGAGAAATCCAGAAAAATGGTAAATAGTATGGAAAGAAATTTAGTTTATACTGCAATGAAATAAAACACATTAGTCAAAACTATTACCAAATTAGATATAATATATTATATTCACAAAGGTAAAAAATCCAGTCAGGTACATAAATTAAACTCAAAAACAGCTTAAGTTTTGCAATTTTGCATTACTTATGGGAAATATATGGTTCTTATTTTGTACAAAAAACGTAAATTGATCGGCAAAGTTTATTTAGGTTCGTTGGTCCCTGTGGGTGACAGGTCGGTCTGTTCCCAGGAAGCCTGTGCGTCAGCCATGTGGCATCTGTAATATTAATAAACATCTGCATTGCGCGTCAATTGCAGGCGTAGCTAATTTAAATGGAACTGAATCCGTTTCTTATACGTATCCCTCGATTCGAAGGAATTGAAATTCAGTTCCACACGACTACGCAAAAAAATATTTTATTTCTATTTGTTGATAATTTGTGTACCTGTCATAATGGTTATTAATCATTGGAGTAGTCTCGACCATAGGTAGCACAGTGGTGTGTCGCCTGCCGTTATCACATATGCTAAAAATATTTCTTTTAAATCTTTTGGCAAAGAACGACAATTTTGTACAGTGCAATCCCTTCAATTACTAGTATAAGGCCATACTTTAATAATATACTGAAATATATACTTTTATTAAACAGTTCGTATATGAGTTCATTCAATCGGATTGCACTGCATACTGATTTTAAAATTAGGAATAATTTGATAATTTAATAGTGATTCGTACTCGACAGCATTATCCTCTGGGGAATGTGGAGTCTTTTTCCAGCATTGAGTGCAACCTGAAGATTTTCTAAAAAAAATAAAACATAAAAATGAATCCATTTCAACTCTAAGATAGTAAGTCTATATGTCATAGTAAAGTTACTTTTGAAGCTAGACTATTCCTACACATTTGTCGAATATAAATTCGTTTTTATAATTTTTTTGTTTATATTATGCAATGCGGATTTTCAAGTACGAAATGATCCATTATAAATAAACAACAAGAAAAACGTCATTACCAGTTTTCTCGCGATAGAAAAAATGCTGTTTTACTTAACGGCATTTTCAGAAAGTTGCCCGAAACTTGTGGGTAATCACACAAAGTCACGTTAATATCTACTTTTAAGCTTAACGGAGCGCACTCACAAGTTCTATAGACCGATATTTGCAACGCCTTGTTCGGTCGAACTTGTTCAATTAAGTAAGTTCTACTACTAACCGAAACTAAAAGAGAATTTCGACACAGACACGTAAATGAAAGTTCTGTGCCGCAAATTTCTGTATAATAAATAGATTAGCACCAATTACCTACAGTAATTTCCACTTTTAAGGTTGAGAAGGGACATTTTAATAAGCAGAAACAACCCAAACAACTATGTATAGGGCATAATTTTCTCAAAATATTCCTAGGACCCTTTCAACGTTCAGGGAAAACGAATTAAGTATGTGGAGATAGCTGTTTAGAAAGAAAATGAAGCAAAGGTGAGCTTTCACGAAAATGTGACATTCGTCCGAGAACCGCCTTCTACTTTATAAGGCCGTGGAACGCTAAAGCATGAATCATCGCGCTAAGGAAGCGAGATATGTATGTTGCATGAGGTTGGTAATACCAAATATACCTAGGGAAAAGAGGATTTGACAAATTTTAATTGCTTTATATTATTTTAATGTTTAAAATTTTGTGGAAACAGGTAAAAATGGTCCAAAAATTTATAACGAAGTGCTGCATACATATTTTAAAAATTTAATTTAATAATAAATGAATGAAGAACATATTTATGTACCTGTTTTTATGTCAAAATTGTTTTATTTTGTTTTGCGACTAGTAACGACTGCTAAACTATGCACAGTTTTCGCAAATTCTGATTCTTTTAATTTGTCGTCTTTTCGTATGAGCATAAAACGCTCTAGCGACCTGCTTTTATTATCCTTTATGTGACGACTCACCGATTGCTTACAGTCGCAGAGGTCGTTCTGTCCCTATACTAACCAGTTTTTATCTTTCTAGGAGTATTATATTATAAGTAATGTAGCTAGATGGATACAGGTCACATGTTCAAGGAAAACATGGTAGATCCCATGGCTGATATAAAACACAACTGGTGCCTTCATGTTTCATGGATTAAATTACAAATATCTACTCGTCGTTTCGTATAATTAGATTGAGTTTACTACATTTTCTCTTGTTTCCGACAAAAATATTTGCGTTGAGTTGAAGTATGTTTACGGTTCACCTGACATGGTTCACCTTTGATGTTTAAATGGGTTAGCGAACATATTTTGAGGTCATAACTGAAACCCCATATTGCCTGCGTGATCGAATCTTAAAGGTCAGAGTAAACTATACAAGTATTAACAGGGCCTGATATTTAGAGGGTGGCTAATTATGCTCGTTTGATTATTTTAGCATTTCAAAATTCAGTACGTTCGACATAATACGCGCTAGTTCATTACGCATAATTTAACTAGATACGCAAGTTGATAGAACATTAAATCGGAACTAAATATGGTAATTACGGCGGCGCATCTAATATGCTAATGACAATTAATACAATATTGATATATGTTCGGAGTGCACACAATGTTTACAAAATGTACCAGAGCGCACTGCTTTCGGTCATAAATCAGTACAAAAAAACCGTGAATATCGTTATTCTAAATCGGGATCGTCACCTGGACTGGCCTCCATCGTTTGCATCCTTAGAGCCAGACGAAATTGACGTTACGTTGCGACAAGGCGCGTAGTCATAGTTGCGAAGCGACATCTGTAGGTAGAAACTGTTCTTAATGGCAAGTTGTACCTAAGAACCGAGGGTTAATTTTAACATTGTAGTTGAACTTTCGTGAAAGCTTACCTCTCCGTTAAGGAAACAGTACAACACGGCCACGAAAAACCCCTGGAAAGTGTTTAGAAAGTATGTGGTGTACGACCACAAAGCGAAGACCCAAGATCTCTTGACTCGATAATCTAGAAGGAACAGAATATGCGCGATGCCCATCAGCGGAAGGAGAAAAATGGCAGCTCGAACGGCTTTCCTGAAACGAGACCTTTGTTCCATACGTCGAGGTTGTTTCAACACTTGAAGAACCAGTCGCTTGAAGCGGTGGAAACTTTACAATCTGAGGCTTTCACTTGAAAACATAATTTTAGAAATTGAACCTGTGGTTTCTACCGGGTCTTTGACGCTAGTCAAAACTATAGCGGGTAAGCCTTACTGCGAGAAGTATTAACCGTTACGGCCTGCGCCAACAAAATATATTACCAAACATATTCCCAAGTTTTTAGAGCGACCTCCAGAAGGCGCAACTTCTAAGACTAGTGAGAAAATGGGATTTTTACAAAATTTTTAATAGCCAAGAAGTTGTGGTAAGTTTTGCCCTATTTAATTTTTCAAAGATATTTCCACAGGTTACTGTAATACTATTTACAAAATTTCTGGATTCCTAGTGCGTCGGTTGTTGTTGTTGTTCGGTTGTAAATAATTTTGCCCTATTTTCTTAAATTGAAATGTTAACAACTCCAGATGGGGTTATCGAAACCAAGCGATCTTGGTCTTATTTAAAAGAGCATTTTTGCTCTACAATATACCTTATAAAAAATAATAATATTTATAGTATTTATAAAATTTTAAATGTAACAATGTGTAAACTTAACTAATACGACTAACTTATTAACTAAATATGAAGTGATGGAAATAACATATTTTTCGGTTTCTAATAGTTTGCGGGATACAGCCGGGGGCCATTCTTTGTGGGACACTCAGTACATAAGATAGTTTTGGCAACGTATATTAGAGAAAAAAAAATTATATCGCGATTCCAGATTAGAATTTTCAAAATTATTTTTTTCGCGAAAGCCTCACATCTAATCATTTTTCGACTATCACGGCGTGTTCCATGTATCAAATCGAATCATCGCCTGGGACAAAACACACAGAATTTGAAAAAAAAGTACCTGACTTGCTCTAATTCACTGCTTCTTGTTTCTCTCAGCTTTGCGATCAGCACTCTGATAATGTTCAGAAGGAACAGCAAATTCACCTAAAACGTCATTAAATGCAAACTCTCATAATTTTTTTAAGTGATATTATACATATCATAAATACTTTTTCTATGGGCATTAGTTTGCAGGTAGATTTTCCAAAAAAAAAACACTAATGGACAAACGTAAGTAGTGTTTAAATCCCTGATTAAAGCACCGGAAACTCCCAAAGAGGCTCACGACGTTATAAAGTGACACTTTATGCATGATTGATTGGGATATTTCAGGGAAGACGGTAGAAAAAAGTAATTTAGTGTACTATTTAAAAAAAAAGCGGATCCAAAAATTAGGAGATCGTTTTTGTAGACGTTAGTCAGTGTTTTAATTTGTTAGAAAAACCATGTTAAACTTTATTTAAACTACTAAGCCATTTCGTCTAATTTGCAACGAATTAGGAGGACAGAATGCGCAGTATAATTAATTCTAATTTCAGAGAAAGTATCTCAAGCTGCATAAGAGAGCTTCTCTAATTTCCTGTGACATTCGTTTTCGTTTGCTCGCCCCATCTTCTAAACATACAACACGGAACTTTCATTTGATCTTTTTGTAAATCGCCTGTCAAATATTAAAGAGAATAAAAGATAATCCCTTTACAGCAGTGGATAGTAACGATGGCGTGGTTTGCCTTTGCAATGGTGTTGATGAAATCGAAATGAAATGTCCAGATAGTTTTCGGATAGTTGCATAATAGCTGCATGCCAGAAATGGGCACACAGTGGATGAGCAGAGGTGTTCCTGAAAAAGTCCATTAGTGAAGTTTGGCCTTCTATATTGTTTTTACCTTGAAGCTTATTTCAAGGAATGTGTAAACTTTTCAAAACTGTTGCTATTTAATTAAAACTCCCTAATTGACCTTTATTTAAAGAAGATTTTAATCTTTAAATTATAGTAAATCAATGTGTAATTGGTAAAATTTTGCCAATATCTCGATGAGTGCTCTAGATATTTTGTCGATATTATATTTACGATATTATTACCTACATACCTTGTTGACAGTTTATTAAAGTTTTATTTGTTTATTCTGTCGAACTATTAGGAACATGTAAATTTAATGGAGTGTTATAACTAAATTATAAAGTTTTTAATCCCACTTAAATTAATTAATTAACAATTTAGAATTAGGATTTTTTTAACATGATAATAGTTTAGTTATGCTTCCCCCAAAATTTAATGTTAATTTGTATAATTTCAAATACATCTCTACAAAGCTTACAAATCCAGCTTCGAGCTGCAACCATTCGAAAGCTTGCGACATTTCCTTTCAATCTTTATGGAAAAATCCTTTTTGTTAGTATAATAAACCTTTCATTAAAGCATATCTTTTATAAATTCGTATGAAGCGGTCTATCGAGGCTAACGACTTTCGCAGCATATTTACGTTGCACTTTAGAAAGTAAAATTTTCCGGTTTATTAAAAATTTAATTGAGTCATTCCAAAAACTTACTTTATATCATAGAGTTTTTCGATTTATCTCGAATAAAGTTCTTTAGGTTAAATGTCAATTTTCGTCATTTATAGGCGCTAATACCGTCAAAGCAATTTTAATACATTCGAATTCCGACAAGAAATTAACTCAAATTTAATCAAAATTCTTTATTTCTACTTATAATCGGAATTTTCGAAATAAAATTATTATTGGTTTTAATTACGTACCATTCTAAATTTTTAAGGTCCATGTTCAAATTCCAAAGCCTTCTTGGAGACAAAGGTTACAATTTATAAATAAGTTTTTGAAAGTATTGAGACCAAGTGCATTCTCTCTTGTCATTGAAAAAATGAACGTAAATGGGATTTTTAAAATTTCCCTACAAAATGTTTATTTTCAGAACACCCGGTTTATAAAAAAAAAAGAGGTACAGGTACGATAAAATGTTTGCTCCTTTCCGTGAACATTTTAGAAAAGTTAGGCGTCCTGCGAGTTCATAAAATTCTTTGACGAAAATAATATATGTATCTAGAAAAGAGTCAGAGATAAATGGCGGTCTGAATAAAATCAATTATATTCCATATGATGCACATATTTTTGTTTTGGTTCTGGTAAAATAGCATAAGATTATTTTAAAAGTATTTGGCAAAGCAAAGTATCTCTATATATAAACATATATGTTGTTCATTAATATCACTAATATTGATATAACATTGATATACCTAAGGAACAAATATCCATATATCAACAATATCTATATCTAAGGAACAAAATTAAATCGAAGCGCGTGTCTTAAGTTGCTTTTTTTTAAAGATCCACTGTGCGCAAACCAGTTTTTATTCTAATAAAAACCGAGATACCAAAAATTTTAATTATTGTTCATCTCCTTAACAATTCAAAATGCGGAAAAAAATAACAAAAAAAAAACTTTTCATGGGTGAATCTGAGGAAGAGGCAGAAAATAAACATAATGACTTTCTAATCTACCAAGGTTTATCCAAACTTTTAAAATTTTAGAATGAACCTATTAACTTTGAATATAACATATTATACATAATATTGGTGATTCTCTAATATAAAATATCTGCTGTCCACTGAGCCAAAATCACTAAATAATAACTTCCTTGTAAGGGAAAAGTAATATCGTTATGTGCTATCAAGCTTTCGAATAAATCCATTTGCTAATGATTTTTATTTTTTTCTGCAGCAGGAAAAGGCTTTGGGATGTCACGTGCCAAATAGATTGGTGAAATATAGATTCAATTTCAAGCGCAATTTACTTCTAGGTCAATGAAATATTTTCCCCGCAAGTTCTTGACAACATATTGTTCTATTACGAGCGTCGTGTGGCACTATTTTTTATTTAATCATTTTGCATTAAAAACGTAATTTAGTAAATATTTCGTTTCGGATAAAATAGAACGGTAGGACCATTTTCGACTACCCCCCATTAACTCATTCTCAACCAAACGTTTAAATTCTTGTTCTGGGTTCCGGAGTGCAAAATCTTGTCGACCACTTAACGCAGAACAAAACTTCTCGCGTCTCCACATTCGCATCCCTCAGTTTTATCACGCAAATAAAACGAGACGAATTCAAAATAAAAACTTTAATACCTCAAAAGAAGCTTAACTTACGATGATTAGGAAAAATCGAGGTCCTTCCAGTATCCAGTAATACGGGAGAAAGTAATAATACGTCCATGTCCTAGAAACAATGTTTATCTAAATGAAAAATATTCTTTCGCGGACGAAAACACTGCAGTAGTAGCAATGTAATGGACCAGATTATGGATATTAGATATTCGTCGCATTCCTCGCCCATGTAAATCATGCTTAAAATAATCGTAACTATTTAATTACCATGAAGTAAAATCTAAGGCAGAACGAAGCGAAGAAAGAGTTAAAGATTACCTAGACTTTGATAAATTAACGGACGGCGTTAACAGATTTTATTTATTTACAATTTCAAGAAACAAGTCTTAAAATAAATAAAGTAAATAACATTAAATACTTAGGCATATTTGAGAAAAATTTAACGTTTATGTGGAAAAACTCGTTTATAAAATATGAGTTGAATCTACATTAAAGTACACCATATTTGTGTGAGGTCCACTGCGCTACCCTGCTTATTCTTTAAATGCCGTTAAAAATTATACAAAAGTTGTGTATCAGAAAGAAAGACATTTTCAGGCTAATGAAAATTAAAATAGAAAATATTTATCCACTAATTCGCATAAGAAATCTCATTAACTATAAAACATCCATGAATTGGAAGCTACACTCTCTTTCAGAAAAATGTAGAACAATGAAATGTCCAGTATATTCAGAAAGAAATGAAGAAGAAGAATGAAGAAATCGGTTGAAAATTGTGTTCGTCATAGGCCGATGTTTATGATTTGTGCTATTGTTTTCTAATATCTATATATTAATACACCTAGAGGATGGAGTTTTCCAGACCCTTTATTATGAAGGCATCCTTTAGGAATTTTGGACTATAGTTACCTGTTTTTGTAAGCAGGCCGAGTGACCTTTAATTAACAACAACAACCATACAGGAAATTAGTACGAGGGTATGAATTCAGATGTTTTACAAGAGACAGTTCTTCAAATGACTAAGAATATTATGATTTTTTATAATTTAATTTCTGTGTAATGTATTTTTGTGTAGGGCGTAATAAAAATTAAGGGTACTCAATACTGTTTTCAAAATGCTCAGTTCCCCAATTACCGGGACATCTCCTTCACATTATTTTTAGTATTGGTGAATGGACAATAATAGACACCACAAATTGTTCGAAACCACCTGCACTCGATAAAATAAAATGCCAAACAACGAAAGTGGTTTAAGTTGGGGCACTCGCTTTCTATACCTGACGAGATATTACTCTACACTTTTCTGAAATATACTTTAGTTATATTCATGAACTATAAAACCCTTTCTCATATTTAACCTTCCTAACTCTTCATAGTCTACTGTGCTATTTCATTCTTTCATATTTTCTTTCTTGTAATCTTTTCTTTTCTTAATTCTTATGGCTTGCAATATAATTAAGTACACTGTATGCTATATTAAGTTAATTTAAGTACAGCACATTTTATTATTTTTGAATCTAGTTAAATTTTGTAATAAAATATATAAATAAATAAACATATAAAAATGAAAAGAAATGTTTAAATACCAATTCGATCGTTAACATCACTTAATCAGGTCTAGATGAACGTGTTACGTCTGTAAAATGCGCTGCAAAATTGCTGTTACAATTATATCTTCAACCGTCACTTAATTAAAAACATTCACACCCAAATACTAAAAAAATACAAACTAATGCTAACGCTAACGATTTCTGAAAAAAATAATGCATAGAAAGTCATGGTTGGAAATGTATTTGACCTCAATTTTTAATTCAAAAGAACTTTTCCTAATAGCACTTTCTCGATTTTTTGAACTAAGGGTATTTTACCCTTGAAATAATGGGCAAACATACAAATTTTGCAGCAATTATTAATGAAACATTTTCCCTTATGTATTGTATATTTTCTTGCATTTCCGTTTTTGAAAAATTTCACCGTATTGGGAAACTTTATTGATAATACTATTTAATTCAATAAAGAGGAATAATGGTGAATCACTTTTACATAAAATAGGAAACGAGGCAAGATACAAAAACAATTCAAGAGTTGAACTTTTCGTGGCTTATTAAAAGTAAATAGCAAAAATTGCCAAAAAGTCGTTACAGTAGTAGTGTACATTTCTTTGTCAATAATATTGTTTTAGATATCTCACAGTTTTTATCTAGTCAATTTAGCAAAATTAGTCCTTTATCATTATATATAATCATAAATTAATTTGTAAGGACATGATTAATTTTGAATGAACTTTATTCAATTAATTGTACTTCTATGAAAATGTTAGTTAAAAACACGGAAAAAACAACTCTCAAATGAGATATCAGTTTGCTTGTAGCGAACTCATCTCTTTGACAATTCTGATGTCGAAAATATCAGATAGTAGAAAAAAACTGGACAATTTCCTCAACTACCATGTCATAGTTAATTTTTAGGTTTGTTTTCTAGAGACCCTTAATTATCAAAGGTCCCATCACTAATCGGTAGTAATATTTTAACAAATAATGTTTCCTCCTGACATACCTTATCTTCAAAAATCAATCTTAATTTTTTTATATTAATAAAATCCTGTTTCGGACGTAATAAAAACAGATTTTCTCCGAAGAGACGCAGATAAAGGTTAACGATGTCGATTTCCCAAGAGTTTGCGGAAAATTAAATATATTATTGACTCCGGTTTCCGATTGAAAATGCATGATTTCTCTACCCATGCAACGGTTTTGAATAATAAAATTTCAAAATTAGAAAATTTAATACGATAAAGTACGAGGTTAAAGCTCTAATTAATTTTACTTACGTCTCGACAACTTTCCATATCATTACTCCTAACCAGATGGCTGTCATAATAGCCGGTATGATCCATCCGGCGTAAACGTATATATTGATATATAAATGTTCCCGAAACACTGCGACAGTAATAACGTTGTGCAGGTACAAACCCTCGATAAACATCCACATAAACATGGCCGTTTTGGCGTATTCCATTAGCGTAGTGCATATTTCGTACAGGTAATACTAAAAAAACAGGTAAAAGCTTATATTAAATAGATTGCAATGCCTTACACTAATTCTCTCTTTAGTGAAAAAAATTATTAGGAACTATAACGATTATTGCATATGAAATGCACTGCATAAAGAGTAAAAGGATAGGTGTGACCTTGAGGACGTGACTACCGGCTGTCCCAAATGTGTGTTCCAGTCTTGTACGAGGTTAGCGCCAAAATTTCCCGGCCTGACATAGATGCAGCTCCAGTATCACGATAAAACTTTGTCTTCTTTTAAATATATATCTTAGTTAAGTAGTTTTTTATTGACAGCATTTTCAACAAGACTTGTCCAAAAAAATGTCGCAAATAACGCAAATTGAATATAGAGCAGTCATAAAGTTTTTAACAAAAGAAGAGTTAGCACCTAAAATTATTAAAGAAAGGCTGGATGGTGTGTACGGCCAAAGTTCTCCTTCGTATTCTGTTGTGAAAGAATGGGTAAAACGTTTTCGAAGGGGCCAGGAGTCCCTTGAAGATGATTCAAGAACTGGTCGACCAGTGGAGGTTATAACGGAAGATATTGTTGCGATTGTGGAAGAGGTGGTATTGAGTGATCGACGATTAAAGGTCAAGGAAGTCTCAGAAATTACTAAGCTTTCTGATACAAGTGTTTGTCGAATCCTGCATGATCATTTGGGTATGCATAAGGTTAGTGCAAGATGGGTGGGTGGCAAAAACAACGCCGTGTCGAGTGTGCGCGGTCTGTTTTGGAACTCTGTGGGTCGGAACCGAAGCCTCTGATAGAAACTATTGTGACCGGAGATGAAACTATGTTTCTCTATTATGACCATCCATCGAAAAAAGAACCAATGGAGTGGCGTCGTAAGGGTGAAGCACCTCCAAGAAAATTCAGAATCTGCCAGTCAACAAAAAAGGTGATGGCCATGATCTTTTGGAATTGTGAAGGAAATCTTTTTATAGATTTTAAAGAAACTAATACCACTGTCAATGGTAAATATTACGCAACATTGTTACATAAATTGCGCCACTGCATACGTGTAAAACGTCGATGAAAACTGACCAGAGGCGTGCGTCTTTTGCACGATAATGCACCTGTCCATACGGCTGGTGTTCCACAAGCTGCCATTTTAGAGTGTGGGTTCCAACAGATAGATCATCATCCCTATAGTCCAGATATGGCCCCCAGCGATTATTCTTTGTATGGATATTTAACGACGAAGTTCAGTTGAAAGAGGCTGTTTTAGCTAATTTTGCAGACAAACCAAAGGAACATTTTTTTTTAAAGTATAATAAAAAATAAAAATAATAAAAAATTGTTACTCTACTTTGTTTCTTTCATATTCAGGCCGGGAAATTTTGGCGCTGCCCTCATCCATAGGATTAGAAAAAAAGAGTTCAATACAATAAATACTGCTTTTACCATTGTTATAATGGTCGTAATATTTAGATAAAACTTATTGCATTTAATATCAAGATATATAATAACAAGGTATCACAGTAAACAAAACCCTGTGCTCTATTTCTTAATGCGAGAGAGGTCTAAGTCACTATTGAACTGTAAAACTTAATGATCCAATAGGCGTAGTGTTGTATTTACGATGATTTTCAGACAGGCAGGCTAATGTTGAATTAGAGTTACTTTTCGGCAGTTGTTGGCAAAGTTTACTGAGAGTCGCCACCAAAAATTCAGAATTAGGAGTTGCAAAAGTCGCCGAAATGTGTTCAAACATGACTGGAGCTAGGCAATCAACAATACACCGGCTTGTGCATAAGTATCAAGTCACCAAAGAGAAGTACAGGAGCAAAAGCAACTGTAATAAATGGGGATGAAAACGCTGCCGTCAGAACAATAATATTTTTGAAGGTAATCAAGTTTCATTACGAAAAAAGTCAAACCAGGAAGTCACTTTAATTTGGAAGTATTGGTAACACATTGCAGGACAAAAAACAATTAATAACGGATTGTAAGCTCTATGGGCGGATGAACTACTCGAATTAAAATACCCTCGGGAAAAGGTAGACAATTAATTTGTCGGTAACGGCTTACTAGTATTTTGGATTCATGATTTTAAAACTACTTTCAGCAAATGCTACTTTTTATTTCTTCTAAACTTATTATCATAAGTAATGTCAGCTACAACTCTTAGAAAAAACTGACTTCACTGACTTACTTTAAATGAGAAGCAATTTCAGAAAGATATGCTGAAAAAGGAGCTACCTGAAATTGTAAATTTCAATAAGTCTCTGTGTACGAAATTTCTTGTCAATGATTCAAAACTTTCACTTTTAAAGTTTAAATCCTCTTGCAAGAGGGAATAGAGACAGCACATTGCGAAAAATGGAGTAAGTGCTTACATACTAGAAAACACTGTAGAGCATTGCAAATTTACATTTTATTAACCTCTTGAATTAAAAAATACAGGATTATTAAAGAAACTCCATTCAAAAAGTCAGAAAGAAATATCCGCCTCTTTAACTAAAAATCACCACGTCAGACATAATCACACCATAATAGTCAAAATTTTTGCTGATGGAGGCAAGGAGAAAAAATTTTGCGCATCAAATAAAATGTTTGGCAAAAATTCAACGCGAATTACAAAAACATGAGAAACACTTTTCGTTTTAATTGTCAAGGGTTGTTTTTTGCAAATTGTATATCTGGGATTAAATTTTGCGCAGCTAACAAAGTTTAAGTCGTCTTTAATTACTTGCTAATGACCCAACTTGTGGGCATAATCTTGTAATTAAGATTTTCTGCATGGGATCAGGTTCAAAGCAAGGCTGCAAACTTAAAGTTTTTAGGTGCCGATCAAATATTTGACTATATTTGCAGTACGATTCAACAGTTCTATTCATTTTAAAGTTTTTAGCGAAGAGCGCACAGAGAAAATAATTATAATTTCTCCTTTTTTTATAAAAAATATTTTCCACTTGCTACTGTAAAACCATTTACAAATCATCTGGAATCCTCCTACTTCGGTTGTTTAAAAATCAAATTTACTGACGTTTCGCCAATCATCCTGCTGCCTTCTTCAAAGCTTAACTGAGACTGGCTGGGATTCTACTCTGTATCTGTTTATATATTGTTTGAGGGGGGCGGAGCTAAAGTAGAGGCATGAACATTGTCTCGGATGAGTGATTCGCATACTGGTGAAAGGTTGGAACGGTTAGGATTGTTTGGTTAATAATCGATTTCTATAGATTCTCGGATTTTTCTTTGATAGAAGAATTGAATACATGCACGAATTTTAGTTTTATCGAATAAGATTTGATGTCGGGACATTTTTTGTCCGGTCTGTCCAATGTATTCTTTGCCGCATATGCATGAATATTGTAAACTCCTGGTATCTCAAACGGAATTTTGTCTGTGAGGGAACGAAGATGTTGAAAGGATTCTGGACAAGTGGTAAATCTGGTTTTGACGTTATATTTCTTAATATGTGGTCAGTAATGTTTTGAATGTGTGGAAGTTGTAAGTAGTCGTGAAGTGTATTTTGTGATGGAACGCTTGATATCTCTAATGTGCAAATTATTAGAAAGAAGAGCAGATGTAAGGCGTTTTAATTCTGGGTTCAATGACTCGAGCTGAGATAGTTTTACGGCAGGTGGTGATGCAGTCCCACATCACCAAAGACAATGAGTCCGAAAGCAACCCCATACTTGCCACTATTGTCATTCCTTACATTTAAATATCACTAACCACGTATCAAAAGTTTTTTAGAAATATAACACCAAACCACATTTACCACTCCTTCTTTACCACAATCATAAAAAAAAATTCTTGCATGTAATCAATTCTTCTACCAAGGAAATCTGAGAATCCATAGAAGTCTATAAGCAACAAAACAATCTTAACAGTGACTCAGGTTTTTACCTTTCACCAATATATTTTTTTTCGAAGAAACTTCCACAGGGTACTGTAATACTTTTTACAAAACCTGCTTGCTGGGCAAGTTCGACTCAGCAAAAACCGACGCAGAAGGAATCCAGAAGTTTTGTAAAAAGTAATGTTCATGTAGTTCCTTTAGCTCCGCCCCTCAAACAATATATAAGCAGGTGGAATGCGAGCAAGTTTCAAGCTCTGAGGAAGCAAACAGGATAATTGACGAATAGTCAGCAAATTTGATTTATAAACAACCGACGCAGGAGGAATGCAAAATATTTGCAAATAGTGTTAATTTTTTAATAATATTATTGTTTCTATATTTGACGTTTCCTAGCAGAACTAATTTTCACATAAGTTACATATTTAAGGTTAAGAAATCAACATTAAGCCAGTGAAAATTGTAAATTGCAAATAGGGTAACTGACAGGATACATAACGTAATATGAAATTTATACTCACGTCTTTCAGCAAAAACTTGTTTTCCTCGGTTAAATGCTGGTCTATGTACTTTATTAACCTAAAATCCACTTGAAGCAAAGTAGCTACAAAAAGATTCTTATGAATTCTGGTCCTGTTGTTCTTTAAGATTCTGAAAAAGAAAATGAAATTTCATTTCGCAACATCCAATAGATGAGTGAAAAAAATTGTAATTTGATAGTTCATCTTAATGGTTACTAGGACTACTCGATCCAGAAATTTGTAATGGTTAGTTTGGTTTTATTGTTCGTAGAATTTACCAATATAACTGGCATTATTTTTAGGAGAGATTTTCAAATTCCGTTTGGTATTTGTTAATTTCCTATTGCGGCGTTGAATAACACAAATGGTACTTAAATTAAATTACCAATTACCTGTACGAAAAAAATACATATAGGGAGATCAGCAACGACATAAATGAGAACGATAACCCTACCATCTCTATTATTCTCGTTGTGTTTGCGATCTGGAACAAAGAAATGAATCGGTTAAGGTAAGCGAAGCCATTTTTATCCTGGTTGTTTGCTTTTAGTAGGCTCTACGTTAAAAAAAAGTATGAAACTTTCATTTTGAGATTGTACTGAAGCACTTGTTAGTATTATGAGTGACAATAGACAAGTTCTGTAGTCAAACGCTCCAATATCGCTTGAAGCGGGCATATTTGTATAGGCAGTGTCAACGCTAAAGAAATACCACTCAACATAACCGGAAAGACTCTGCGTTTTATAATACTGTAGTCCCCCCACGCATACCGTGAAGATTTTAAAGAGCCCGAGTAGTAGGAAATTTCTGGAACATAACATAAATATACATTAGGAAACTGCAAGTTGCAAAGTAAAACGTGTGCACTTTTTCCCAAGTATATAAAATGAGATGCTTTTATATTTTAAACGCACAGCGACGTACAGCGAATGAATCTTTTATATTTTAATTTGCGAGTGTGGATTGAATTTTTTTAATGAAATTAGCCCGAAACTTTGATATTGCACTAAACAAAAACGAGAATTTACTGCGCAAAAACAAGATAATTCTACCGTGAGAGGACATGGATGACACCAAATATTCTGTTGACGCAGTCACTGACAATTGCAACTTTATGGTCTGCGAGGTGTTTTTTATAATTTCATATCAAGTTCGCTGATTAACAGATCACAGTCAGTTTGAATATCCTTGGCAGAATAGTCAATTATGCAAAGGACACGGCAAGATTTTATATTGATGCTTCTTAATTTTAAAGAGGCAGGTTGAAACAGATGTTGAAACAATAGTAAAATGGATTCAATAAAATAAACTCTCACGAAACGTTTCGAAAACAAATTATTTTTGTTTTACTTACAGCATCATCAAATATATACAAATAAATATAAAAATCTGAATTCATTAAGTATCTATGTATTTATATAGCTCTGGATTCTCATTTAAAATGGGATCTTCATGCTAATGAAGTAACTAGAAAAAATGTTAGCTTAACATCGAAATTGAAATGTCGAAAAGATTTTTTTGATTAATACTTTATTTAGTAGTTCTTAGTAGTAGAAGAAATGGGACATAATATTCTCTACTCTATTGACATACTTTATAATCTTACTATCTTGTCATCATCACCAGTCACTCCCACACTACTCGTTCGTAAAAACCAGGGCCTAATAATTTTACGATTAAAATTAAAAAAAAATTGTCAAAACTATACCCCGAGGGCTTATAGCATCCTGCCAAACAGGTTAAAACAAAAAATTAAAAAATCAGCAAATAGATACACATATATACACATAACCTATTCAAAACTAATTGAAAAAAATGTACGTTTTCATTTAAACCAATTATGAACTTTCCCTTGATTATGACATTCTAGCTATAGATAAAAGCCCGAAATTTCCATAGAATGATCCAATTGGAGACCACAATATTAACGAATAGGACTTTTAGTTCACCTTTACATCTGCAAATTAGAATTTCTAAATAGGTGATTATAATCCCGTACAAGCAGAATCTGTTCTTCTTCGGCGATTATTTATTTGTTATAGTTTAATAGGTTATGTGCACATACACCGTTCTCTTTCTATTTCTCTACGAGAATGACATCAAGAACATCATTAAAAATATTAAAACTTTCGGTTCTCATAAGCTGATTACTCTGCTTTGTGGTAATTGTAGCCCGTTAACTTATATTATAATTTTTTGCTTGGAAACTTCTTATTTCTCACAAACAATTTAACCCACACTATTCGAATTTATGGTGAATCAGACTAAAAATTAAATTTTAGATTTAATTAATATCATCCCATGATATTAGGATAAAGGACTGGTTATAGCTGTTAGACTACACTATCCAATGTAACGGATAATATAGTGAGTGAACTTGATAATGGTGACTGTTTTGGTTTTGCTACGAATTTGACGTAATAAATAATCACCTTTTATTATCAATTTTACGTTTTAGTGACTTTGGTAACGGCACTTTAGGATTACCTTTATCATATTTATTTTTGAGAAAACAAAAAGCACCGAAAATGCATGCATGCATGCATGCAAGCTGTGGTGTTCCTCAAGGTAGTATTTTAGATCCGTTATTATTCACAATTTATATTTCTTAATTTCTTAAATCCTTGAAATGCTGCAGATAATACCTAGATTTATTATGCTTTCTATTTGAAATAAACAGAATTTAACAACAAGACAACACATAGCTTTTAAATCAAATCTGAATGATACATTATATAAAAAACTAGGAAAAACTTTGGATTATTATTTGATCGTCAATTAAATAAATAATAAATCAAGGCATAAAAAATGTCATGCGAATCTTTTGTTTTACCACCACTATAGTATTACGATAGTATATATGGACTATACATAAATGTGGATACTTAATCGTAATATCACATTCAAAAAAATATGACATAACATTTTAATGTTCATGTTTTATACTATTTTTTTCCTTTATTTATATGTTTTTTCCTTTTTTTTTTTCGACACACTGTTTTTCTGGCTTTTTAATAGTTATATTGTTTCATTTTTTACATCTATTTAAATATTATAATTTGGTGGGAGTATTAGTTATTCACGGCCAATGTTTGCATTTATTTATTGCAACTTTTTTTTTCCGTATGGGGTTATTAAAGGTTTTGTTATTATTATTATTATTATCAGGGCAATAAACATGTTGTTGTCCTTAAATATTATTTATTTTCACAACTTTTTCACGGAATAAATATTACTTATTACCAGCAACGCATAAAAATAGAACTAAAAACCGTCCCCTTGTCTGCGATGCTATATTTTCTAAGCTGGAAGCATCTTCCAATACTCAAGTTTTGCTAATAAAAGTAATACACAATAAATAATGTAGTTCGATTTCACTTATCACCAAAATTGCATTGCATATAAAAACAATTAATTGCAAAAGCTGAGTCTAGAAGATCAGCAACAAAACTGTCAAGCTTCTAACAAACATGAAACTCTCCAAAATTACTGAAATGACTTTAGAATCCCTTTGTTTCATTTGAGATGTGCTTTGTGCAACAATTTCATAATCGCGGACTAAATGCTTTCCGACACAAATTTCAGTCGAATCTTGACTGGCAAATCAAAACAGCCGCTTAAACCTATAAAGATGCGACGCCATCAAGTTCGCGTTTGACTGGGGGAATTTCACAATAATAAATAAACACCGAACATTCAATTAAGCCATACCTTTAGACACGTATCGTTACCAAATTGGTTACACATCTCCGCTAGTTCCTGCAATTCCAGCATGATACAAGCTTCGTAGTGTGTATAGTCGACTCTCGTTCCGTTCGTTGTGTTCTTTGTCTCCCAACGGCCTTCCGACGTGCAATGTCTATACGCGACTGCTGCAAAACCCAATATTAATTATTAACTGAGAAACCGGGGCGGCTCTTTGATCAGTTTCGGTCAAACAACGTAAGGAATTTCATTGTATTAAGGAAGTAGCGTCGGAGGAAAAAACTTGTAACATTGAGATGACTAAACACAAACCTAAATGTAAAGCAATAGATTTTTTCTACCCCCGTCTGTAAAATACCTAATTACCCACCTATCTAGCGTGCAAGAAGCGTCACTTTACCACGTCAGTTCCGTTTCCCATGAATCCGAGCCAATTCGGACATTTCCGGGATTTTACCGCACGGATTTGGGGACAATCGGATGTTTTCGGAGATGTTTCCCACGATTTGAATTTTGACGTTTGTCAATTCTGACGGTCATGTCAGTGAATGTATTCGTGTTGTTTTGCGAAAATGTACCCAAAAACTAACGGTTGTAGAAAAAGTATAGTACGCAACACGTTCGGTAAACTTTTTAACTCATTCGTTTCGTTTATTAAAAACTCGCTCCGCTCGTATCAAATAAACTTGTGAGTTAAATGCCGTTTACCGCACTTGTTGCATAATATACTATTTTTTCGCAAATTGCGATCATAATCAAAGCCAAATAGAAACACTATATCTTGATCTATTAAAAAGTCCAATTAAAGTCCTCATTTCTAATGTAACTTAAATTTTTTGTTTTCACAAAACATTATTTTTTCATTCTTGATCATTGCTTAGATTTTTACAGACACAAATAAAGGTCAACTTGATATCAGAAGCACTTTAGAAAAATAGATTCCAATTCCCACGTTACGTACCATTTCAAAAAAACAACTACATTTTGCTAAATACAGGAAGGCGCCTTATTAGTCGCGCGTCAATGAAACTGAGGGCCCAGATGTTTTGATACATAGAAGAGACCTAACCGACCATTGATAATTCTATATTATTTTTTTCTACTAACTTATCCAAAATATCCCAGTATACACTGATCATTAAGCATTCGCTCCGCTGATGTCAAATAAACTCGTGACTCAAATCCTGTTTACCACACTTAGTGCATAATTTTCATCAAAAGTACAAAAAAAGCGGATCATTTGGTAAAAACTGCCAGGCTTTTTCTCGTGTGCTCAGTGTTTTTCAATTCCTAGTTCCTTATAAGGTGTAATAAGTTTTATAGTAATATTTACCACGCACCATGTGTGCAGAGTAATCTATAAAGTTCTTAATTAATCATAAACCTCGATGATTAACATGATTAAATGAAACAGCAAATAGTCGAACCCCACACCTGACATCATTTTTTTCTCAAAATATTTTATATTAATAGGTAAACATAAATTTACCAAATCTAGCGTAAAAAATACCAAAAAATAATAAATACTAAATTTTATCGCATTTTCAAGTTTAACGTATTTTTTTAACGATATAAAAAAAGGTGAGAAAGTCAAACAAAAGAATGCTTCACGTAAGATGCATCGATCCATTTTTTTTATCCTAATTCTGGTTGTATATTTTAACAGATGCTTTTGCTCTCAGCTCTCTTTAGCACATTAACTTGCAAGTCTCTTTGGCAGTGAGCATTGCAGAACGACAATCTGGGTCCGCCTGTTCCGGATACATTACGCAAATGCCGTGTTTAAATAGAATTCCGTAACGATGCATCCTCGAAAAAGATCCCCCTCGTTTTCTTCAAACTCGCGTTTTAACGATGCCATTTTTTATCGATTCGGAACCAGGGAGATTAACGATATATTTTCACTATCTAGCGATGTATTCAGTTCAAAGCGAATGCAAGTGACTTTTTTGTCTGTTGACAATGCGCAGCAGTCGATACGTATGGATTACTTTTTCATGCGGATCGAACCTCCATATTTTCTATTTTGACGTGGATCTTGACTTGATCTCTGACGCGTTTCGTATTTTAGATGATTGGTGTCTCCATTTTATATACGAAATTATTATTCAAGTATTTGGACACTGGCTAGGAAAAAGAGAACAATTGGTAAACATTATGGATCTGACACTCGAACTCGAGATAACTTTTACTAATGAAATCGGTTGGAAGTTCACCGGTGGAGAAGGTTGCGTTCGTTATACAGTTATACAGGAACGCCTTAGACTCTTGACGATCTCATGGATTTCAGAAACTGGATTTAAAAAGAACGATTTCCTTGAAAAAGATATGTTTTTAAGATAGAGGGCTTGTTTTATGAAAACCATAAGCTAGCCTTTATTTTTGGTAGAAAACTTTCTTCCAAAGTTATACTTGATAGTCTTTAAACAGTGCTTCCAAAATGAACGACTTTAAATTCAAATTTTGCATTTTCCTTGTAGGAAACTTTTGTCAAAGTCCTAGTGGCAAACATACAAATCCTATGTCGCAGTTAATAGGATTATATTATGAAAGCGTCACTTTATTCACAACTTTTTAATAAACGAGTGACTGAAGAAGTTTACTAGCGTGTTGCGTGCTATACTTTTTCTACGACTAAGTGTTTTGAATATATTTTTGCAAAACATCCCCGATTCACTATCTGAGTGACGTGACCGTCAGAACACAAACGTCAAAATATCATAAGGCGCTAAAATCTACTTCCCGTAGTTACGGAGACCTCGGAAATGGCTCCGGAGAGTGGTTAAAGGAGCTGATTTTTAAAAATTACACTTTCCACATGCTTGACCAGTGCATGATTGGATTTTGAAAATTCTTTTCTATATTCTTAAACATTGATTTAAGGTGGCTTTTACTTGATGAAAATCCATTTATCAAAATAAATAAGAACTAAAAGTTCAGATTTTCACGAAATTATATATTTTTACATAATTATTTCGATAACATCGTGTCTTTATCAAATGTAATATTTACAAACTACCTGCTACTATATATACCGAAAAATAACCATAAAATCTTAATTAATTTGTTGTGAGGATTTAAGTTCAATATTTAAATCTAATTGATCGTTAAGCATACATTTGTTAATCAACATTCAGTTAATCTCCATGGCTTCCAATAAATTTAATTTTCTACTTTTTGTGTGGCTGTATGTAAAATATCAAAATTGTCGTCAAAAATGTGTTTTTCTGTGTTTAAGTGTGTAGCATAATTAGAATGTAGACAATTGTTTTTAAACCCTCTTTTATGTTCGTTAATGCATTTCTTGAAGGATTTACCTGTTTGTCCAATATAAATTTTAGGACAAGATCCGCATTTCAACCTGTAGACACCTAATTTTTGAGATTTTTTACATTTGGTTTTATTGTTTTTTAAAAATTTTCCTAATGTGTTGTTAGTTCTGAAAGCTATTTTTAAACCACATTTTGACAAATGTTTTGAAACTTTTTCACTAGGTTCTCCTATGTATGTAACTGTTTTAAATTGTTCGTGTTCTGTATTAGTTTTCGGATAAACAGTGTTTACTGTTGTCTGGATTTGTTTTTTATTTATAATTTTATCTATAATGGACGGGTTGTAGCCGTTGTTCAGTGCAATTTGTTTAATGATATTAAGTTCTTTTTTTTTGTAATGTTCTGTTGAGAGTGGCGTATTAAGAAGTCTGCGTATAAAAGAGTGAAATACAGGCATTTCGTGTGTATAAGGGTGATTTGAGCTGTTATGTATTACTGTGTTCGTGCGTGAAGTTTAATGATAAATGGAAAAATCTAGTTTGTTTTGCGTTTTCGTAATAGTTAAGTCTAAAAAATTAATAGAGTTATCCTGTTCAATATCGATAGTGAATTTTATACGATTATCTAATGAGTTGATGTAATTTAAAAAAGAATTCAATTGTCTGTCCGTTCCAACAAAGCAATCATACACGTATCTATACCACCATAGAAAACTTTTACTTAAAGGATGTTCTAGTATGTTATTTTCCAAATTATCCATAGAAATCTCTTCTAATAAAGGACTAATTGGGTTTCCCATAATCAAACCTTCCTTAGAGATGTAAATCTGTTCATTAAATTCAAAATAATTTTGGTCTAAAGATACTATTAAGCAATCTAATAAATCTTGTTTCACCAATGGGTTAACCTGTTTCCGAGTTAAGGTAAAATCTACTAAATTTATCACATCCATAAGGAATACTGGGAAATAAGTTTTGTACATCAAAAGACAATAGTGTTGCGTTAGAAGGGATTTTGATATCTTTAATTTTGTTGATTAATTCAAAAGAATTTTTTATTGCAAATTTTGGTTTAAAGTCTGTGTGGAACTAAAATATTTCGTGAAAATCTGAACTTTTAGTTCTTATTTATTTTTATTCTTAAGCAGTCAGAAGTTAAAAATCAAACGTAAATATTGTGTCTTATTCTATATTTTTGACATTGGACAGTGGTCGCTATCTTAAGCCGCAGATTTAAATGTAACCAATAAAGAAGCTGCAATGTCGAATGGAAACATCGAATTATTATGCATGTTTCAATTTTTCTCACCGTTCTCCAAAGTCCCCGCTAACTTGGGACAAGGCATAGTGACGTTATGGTCCGGTTTCGTGGAAGGCCAACAGATCCAATTGTCACACATGGCCGGGCAATATTCTGAAATAAAACAATGGAGATATGTTCACGGTGTAAGGCGAATAAAGGGATATTTTGATACGCCATCGTTGCGGAACCTCTTCCACCATAAATCTGAGACGACATACTCCTTCAGTCTCCTTTAGAGGCGGTAATGATCGCGTTAGGCAACAATGTAATTTAATTTAATCGGAAAAAATTTGGAGTTGAATGTACCCGCTGGTGTTTTCGATGTCCTTAGTTTCAAAAGCCCAATGAGAACCTTATTTTTGGAAATTGAAGTTTACAATATGAATATAAGTCGCAATTTTTTAAAATAGTGATCAATAACAGTTACCCTAATAAGTGCAAATTTTCAATTGCTAAGAAGAGAATGTTTAATAAACGAGTTATTAAAAAACTTAATCATTGTGTTTCATAATACGCTATTTCAGTTATTTAGGAATCATTATTAGATAATAATTTTTTGCCCTAGTCAACATTTTTTAAATTTAGACGTAGTGGGTTTTAAATATATGGCTCAAAAATTGGTACTTTTTTTAATAAACACCGTTTCCACCATCTTTACCGTTTTATAAGTATCTAAAGAAATCTTATTAGTTTGAAGTATTATTCTAAGGTAAACGATGCTCTTATGTTAATAAACTCAACGTGATCAATATTATTTGTGTGTAAAACGACGTGAATTTGATTTATGTTATAATTACAAATGTGATTGCTTTGTTTTAACTTGGATTGGAAGTTCGTTTGTTGTTCGGAATATAATTTCGAATCTGTTTGAATGGGATTCCATTGAAGAAGTATTTTAACTTTGTCATTTAAAGGTACTAATTACCGAATCTGATACACACAGAAATAAGCAGCTGCTGGTCGACAGAGTTGTTAAAACCTTTCGCACGGAGGAAGTTAAACGATTCCTTCTGCACGTGTTGTCATAGTTTTCATTTTGTTGCTTTGAAGAACCGGAGTTCGCGAAAAATGCATGGACTATATCAGGTCAGACTAATTCTAGTTACGACGAAGCACAGTTATCAATTTTATTTTCAGTTGAAAACTCACGGTTCCCAAATTTCTGTTTATTTCGGATTAGGAAATACTGTGTTAAATATCTAAAAATCGGTTGGCTTTAGAACAACAAATGAGAACTGGAAGTTTTATTATTTCGTTACGTTCTGCAATATGGCATACTTTGTTTGTAAATGATCATGAAAAATCGGTTCCATATTTTAAAAAAAAATGTAAAGTGGTACTATACAAAAAAGAGCTGCATTGCCAAAGTTAACGAAAACTTGCGAACGACGTGAATGCATTTTTATTACATTTTAAGACTGACAACTTCAGTCATTTTTAAGTAAATTTGACTGTTGCCGATATACCGCGTGTCCCAGAAAGGGCGACGCGGTACGGAATTAAAAAAAAATAACTAAATCTCCCAAGCGAATTATTTTCGAATTCCTGAAATTTGATTATGACCATAGTCAGAGTGTCATAATTACCGTTTTAAAACAAATTCCTATATTTTTGGTTTAATGTTCCTTGCAAGGGGGGTGTAAGAAAATTTTTGAAAATAAATTACTCCAAAAAGGCTTCACGAATTTCAACCAACTTGGAGTCATTAAAAAAGAATTCGATAAATGTTTGACCATAATCCAATATTGCCAGCTCTATTTGCAATCAAGAATATGATTAGTTTTGGTTAATTATTATTATTCTGATGTTGAGTTGAGAAAGGAGAGAGCATATAAAGCATAAGCATAACAAAAACTAACTAAAACTAGCCAAATACGGCTATATTTGTTCTATTTGTCGGCAACATCGGATTTCAGCCAAACATTTAACGCTTTCTGATTAAAATTGCACCAGGTGGCGGTTTCTAACGTAATTTGAAACTAAATAATTTTTTCAAAAAAAAATGCAAAGATACAATTTTTTAGTCAAAGAATAAAAGGACTTTACACCATTCAAAAAAAAATGGGATTTCCACTTTACGGCAATTAATGCTTAAATTATCAGGAATTTACCAATTAAAACGCTTATATAGGATGCCAAGTCATACTTTAGTTAACGTGTTGTTATTTATCTTATTACTTTTTTTACTTACCTTTCCACCCTACAGCAACCATTACTACGTTTTGACATTATCGTTTCATTAAAAATGAAGTTAGTCACCAACTCAGTCACTAATCATTTGTGAGATTCATTTAATAACTTATTTAATTTGTTAAATGTATAAATCCATTTAAGAAAGTAATAAAACGTCTCCTTCGACAGAAAAAAAATATTTCTCGACATCTACTTTCCCATGAAATTTTCTATTTATCTGGCAATTCTATGCACCTTTCAAATCTTTATTAAGTGTTTGTCAATTGATTGTTATTATATCACAATCCAGCGAAGTAAAAAAAAAGTAAAAAGATTTTTTTGTATACTTACTCACCCTAACCCAATTTTTTTTAGAGATAGAGAGCGAAGAGCATTAAACAAAAAATATTTGAATTTGCCTCAGTTTTAAAACGTTATAGTTATATTAACTATAATTAATATAAGAAATTTTGAGCCCTTCCAGCACTTTCTTATGGTCGATTTACTTTTTTTTAATTTTGTTTTCAAATATTTGGATTTGTCTCAGTTTTAAAACTTTTTAGTTATATTTACTATAATTAATATAAGAAAATGTTGCCCCCTTCCAGCACTTTCTCATGGTCGATTTACTTTTTTTTTCAAATTTAAAAATACCGTTTCTAGTTACCCTTACTGAGACACCCGGTATATCAATTACTATAAATTAGTTGGGTTCCGGTATAGAGTAGGATATCAGTCTTGAGTTAATAAAATTAGTTAAACCAACGAACATCGATTTGTTACAGTCTAATGCTCGTGGCGAACGTAAATGATTGGTTCATATTTAATTTACACAAGCAAAATTTTAGGTTGGAAAATTGTTGCCAAGTTGAATAATTTTTAAACGATTCTCGTCGCACCATTTCTTAGTAATTAACAAACGCTATCTCAAATAATTAGCTCAGTTTTTTATTTAGTTCAGAAAAAAATTGCCGGATTTGATCAAACAAGAACAGAATTTCGCGCCATTATAATTGTAATGGTCAGCAATTCTGCTGACTTTTATTCGAAGTTCGTCAACGTTTTCGTCATTAATTTTGGAAAATAACGAGTACCATTTTTGTTTTCATTTCATTTTTTTCAATTATGAAACTATGGATCTAAAAAATAGTGGCAGGTGTCGGCTTAAAAATCGAACACATTTAACTAGATTTGATATTATTGAGTTTTTGTTTCGGTAATAAAAAAAATTGGGCCATTACTAATAATAGGTATTAAAAATTTTCAAAATTGAAAATAAATGTGTAAGAAAAAGAAAGAAAAGCAAGATTTTACGTTTTTTTTTTAATAATTCTGAAAGTAACAAAATAAAGCTAAAGTCAATCCAACAGATTGCATGTCATATTTTTGTTGAAAGATTTGGAATCAAATGTAAAAAAAATATCCGACTAATGGATTCAAAGAAATAAAAAAGCCTCTTTTTTGCCGCTAAGCCTGGATGCAAAATCCTATCTGACATAAAGGTCCGAATAAACAAAACAAAACGGGCCACATAACGAGTTGTCGTATGAAAACTTCAAAAGCCTTTAACAATACACCAAAAAAGATTCATTATTAGAATTGAAAATTTGACCCACTTATAGAAGGATTTGGGACATATTTTATTTTCTGACTATTCTTACTACGTTGCGTTTCGCCAAGGCTAATTTGTGCTAGTAATTGGTTCAAATACTCGGATTTAAGGTAAATTATTTTTAGAAACTTGCAGTATGACGACTTGAGTTTGAGCAGATCTCGATCATGAAGAGTTGAGACTCGAAGTTGAAATATTTTTGAATATTTTCTTGTATGCAAGGACACTGTTACTCATTTTTATTGGTATATTATGCAACTAGTGCTGTAAACGGCATTTGAGTCAAGAGATTATTTGACTCAGACGGTGCGCTGCGGAGCGAGTGTTTAATAAACTAGCGATTTAAAAAGTTTTTCTACTCCCGTCTGTAAAATGACTAATTACACACCAATCTAACGTGCGGGAAGCGCCACTCTACCACTTCAGTTTGGTTTTCCAAGGATATGAGATACTTTTTCATTTCCGAGATTTTACCGCACGGGTTTGGGAGGAATCGGATGTTTTCGGATATATTTCCCACGCCTTGAATTTTGACGTTTGTCAATTCTGACGGTCATGACAGTGAATGTATTCGTATTGTTTTGCGAAAATGTACCCAAAAACTAACGGTCGCAGAAAAAGTATAGTATGCAAAGCTGTGCTCCGCTCGTGTCAAATAAACTCGTGAGTCAAATGCCGTTTAGCGCAATTGTATTGCTTTTTCAACGACCGTTAGATTTTGGGTATATTTTTTGCAAAACAACAAGAATGCACTCACTGACGTGAACGTCAGAATGGACAAACGTCAAAATTCAAACCGGTGTGTTAATATGACGGAAATGTGTGAAGGCGTTCCAATCCGTGGGACAAGAAACACGTAGTAAAGTGATGCTTTCCTGTTTTAATTGACTTGACAGATTGTTTTTGTTGAATAAATTAAATATTAAATATATTAAAATTGATTTGGTGACTACTAATTTTGTGATATTTTTTGCAAAACCTAATTACCTTAGAAGGTCATATAGTTGCAATAATTTTATTTGAGATTTTTTTTTGCAAAGTGGCACGATGGAAAGCCCTGTTGACCGACTCCAAGTATACTAAAATGCTTTAAGACTTTAACAAGTAAATTAACCCACCTCACTTTTCCTATACAAAAAAAATTTAAAACTCTTGTTTAAAATTTATAGAGTGCGGGGGCGGAGTCATATTTCGCTCTACCTAATTAGATCGCGTTGTTTAAATACGTTTTATCGATCGAAACTGCAGGTAACGACTTTCTTGTTTTTAAATTTTAAAATATAAAACGCGAAAGATTCAGTTTCACAAACGAATCAGATAAAATACTTCCATCTTTTAGTTTAAAATATTAAGCCGTTTCTATCTCTTTTATTTTCTATAATTGTGTCTCTGTAAAGTGTTTACTAAATTCAAAACCTGCGTAGTATTTAGATCACTGAATGTGTGCATATTTATAAGGCGATTGTTAGCTCATTTATATGAGTATATATATATATATATATATATATATATATATATATATATATATATATATATATATATATATATATATATATATATATATATATATATATATATATATATATTGTAAGTGCATTAATGGTATTAATAGTAATAATAATTAATATACAAAATTCTAAGTAATTTTTGTTAAGATCCGCCATACTTGGTGTTATACCGGTAAAGATAAATATTTTCTTACGCACAGAAGATCCATTTATTGGAATATAAAATTCTGAAAATCATACAGGGTATCCCAAAAATATACTTTACGTGCGATGAACTATAATTTTTCTACAGGTGAAAAAGCTATGCATTTTCATTTATTTTTAAGTTTTAGTGGCATCAAGGATACCTTTGTTAGTTATTGTACCACCAAAATTATAATGCATTTATTGCTTTGACGTTTTAAGTATTTTAGAGTACCTTAACCGCAGACGTTCGCAGGACCGTAGTGATGGGCTGTAATGAATATTTGTGGAAAACTGAAATTTTTATTTGGAATGTAAATGGACCGCCTTAAATTTGATTAAGCACTGATGCTGCGGGGTATTTTCGAATAAGTAGAAGCAGGTGATATATATCGTTCTTAAGAGTATAATCTAAATTGCAATATGTTCGTATATTTTACGGAGGTATTTGAATTTGAGGCTGTTTTCACTGGATAGTTCAAAGAGTAAGGGTAAGTAACTGTATTATATGTATTTTGCAGGTAACAACGTTCTTCTTCTTGCATTTTTGTGTCTTCAAAGTTTTGTATACAACAACAGTCTTTTCTAAGACTATAGATTATATTCGGGGTATTAAACATTTTTTGAAGGTTTGAAGGTTTTTTAACACTTTAAAATGTGGAGCAGTGGAATGAAGCAGATGTTCCCCTGTTAGAAGAATACATAAAAACCAACGCAGAATTTGAAGACAAAGTAGAGATGGTAGTCGAACCTAATGACAATTTAGACGACGAGTTATCTCAGCAAATAAAATAACTGCTCCATTTGTCTTGTACATTGCTCAGCGAAAAAGATTGAAAACATACTTATATCCTGCTTGTTAGTGTGGGTAGATAAATTACTAGCACGGTCCTGGAATGGTTACGGGTAAGGGTCTGCTCGGCAGGGAGTTCTATAAGGGACTGCGGTTTTGGCGTAATAAACAATAGGTAAATTTATTCATGAGGTCATTTGTAAAAGCACTATAATTCTGGTCCACCTATACCCAGAAGGTTTAATAAAATTGAAACTTCGAGTAACTCAACCTATATAGATACTCACTGGTCGCGTTAGACGTCGCCATGTTCTGCAACAAAAAGACAAAATTAGTATTCGGTGCCTCCAGAATATTTCCAATTAATGTTTTAATTAAAATAATTAATAATCTACTTATTTCCAAATTCATTATCATCGATTTGTTTTGTTTCCCGGTGAGGTCTCGAAACTTTGCGGTAAGCCGATTATTTCTACTGAGGCTTTTTATTGATTAAAACTTTTAATTCCTTGACAAAGTGACCGGAGATTTACCATACTGATTGCTGTTCAATGGTCCCTAACCCACCAGACCGTCCTGTTAATATTTTTACTGCATGAGGGAATACGCCGCTGATCCCATTAAGAGTCTTAAACTGACCGACGTAAACTAGGATATTAACAATGGAGATAAAGATAAACTTTCATAAAAGTCCGATTTATTTTTAAATTGCAATCCAGAGAGCAATTTTCTAAATAATATTGGCAACGAACTCTTCATGGTATGTATCCCATAATAATCGCAAAATAATAACATGCTCGTCACATTATTTAATAATAATGTTGATATTATACTGGACTAAAATTGTCTTTGATTATATTTTTGTGAGGAAAAAGGGCTTTTCTTATGCAAAATAAATTTTTTAAAAAGGTTTTGCATGTTTGAGTCTTTGAAACCAAAGTCTTCATCGGTTCAATTCGATCCTATGTCTAGTTTGCGAGATATCGGTTCTCAAAGTTAAATAAAATTGTGAACTTCAGTTTTTATAAAGTGTGAGCCAAAATATTCATATGCAGTTTTGTTTTATCACAATTCAAAAGTATGCAAAATTATCGCACCTATTTTTGGACCCATGTTTTGTACCTTAAAATCAAACGGCCAGATTTTCAGAGAATTCCGATATTTCTTATATACCAAATTATTGAATTATAGAAACTAAAAACCGAAATAGTCATTTAAGCCGTGCATACCTTAGTCCAAAAATTAAAAATTTGATTTCAAAGATTTTCAAGGATTTTGGATGAATTTATCCGATATGAATTCTGTCCAAATGCAGAATTATTTTGTGTCATCCTGGACGTCAATGATTAAATAATTTTATTCTACTAAATTTTTCAACAAAAAATGCATAGTTGTTATATCTATTGATGAATTTTTTAATTATATTTTTCTGAAATAATGTGCAATTATAAACTAAGTCATATTTAACTTACTTATATGGAAAATGATAATTTCGGTCTTTACTAATACTTATTTTACTAAATTTATATAATAACAATTAGAAAAATACTACTGGAAATAATACACAACATGAGTTGCGAAAATTTTCCATACTTTTGAATTGTAATAAAATAAATCTCCATACAAATATTTCACTTCACTCTTAGTAAAGATTGGAAAAGAATGTTGTTGACTGGTCACAGATTTAGGAGTGGTTTCAACTACATGCCTGCTCAGGAAAATGTTATTTTTCTGATTTAAAAGAATTTCTTTATTTTTTAAAAATCGCTTTGCTTAATTCATAATGAAAAACATCAGTTTCAGTTCTACCCATCAAACCCAGGTTGTTTAGGTTTGTCAAAATACTGCGAAAATTAATCGCACGGAGGGATGGATTTAAAACATCAACAAAAGACAGTTTACGGACAATACTCATCATCTTCAAACAAAAGATTTTCAATTTTCTTTTTGACAAGGATGACGTAAAAGACTTCGCAGATTCGGATGACTTTTCTTACAACGAGACTCAATCGGAGAGGAAAGAGGATGTAATTTTCTGCCACTAAACGTCGCGAACCGTGAACATTTTCAATGTCAGTCAATTATATCGCTTAACCTAAAAAAGGAGGTTTTGTATGTATTTCTTCCAGGAATACTGAGAATTATTTTTGGAAGTACGTGGCACTGGCTTACGGTAAAAATATTTCTGTTCTGAACGCATCCTTTTATCGCAGTTTTTATTTTAATTTAAATAAACTAAAGCAAACCAAACACAGTTTTTGATATAATTGCATATTAAACAATATTTTTTCAAATGGATTGTTAAAAAATGTTTTCTCCATAAATTTATTCATTATTATTTTAAAAATAACAGAAAAAAGCTAATGCTGAAAATAAATTCAAATTTATTCCACTAACAAGATAAAACACGTTTTCCAATTAAATTTTTTAATGGAAAATATATATATACGCAAAACTGCTTCGAAATTTACTACTCATAGTCCTTTGAAATTAAAAATGTGTAGTTAGTTAGTTCCGTTTGACGTTTCCCTAGTTCCAAATTTCGATTCAAAAACTTACTGAAACAAAATAAACACAATTAACTTTTAAATGTCACGAAGTGATCTAATTATTACTCCGGCCAAACAATATACAAACTGAATTTCCTTTATATGATATGCATGTAAAGGAATTTTAACAAAACTACCATGCGTGTAGGCTAAACAAAGGTATACATTTCCGAATGACGTGGTTACTTTCAAACCTACACACAAACGCACATGAGCTTGAATGCCGTTGTTAATATTAAAAATCCTATAACGGACGAAGAATGAAATTTTGGAATGTACAATATAACTGATTAATAGCAAATGCTAGCGAGCTTAGCTTGAATAAACTTTTCGACAAAAAATAGTGAGGAAAAGTAAATTATCTCCTAACAAGTGAGTAAATACATGTTTGTGATGTTGTCAAAGACCTCAAGAATCGTAAGGCGGATGGTGGTCCTCATTTTATCTACATCGACAAATCATTGTAACTTAGTCAATATAGTAGTGCTGAGGGATTTTACGAGAAGTCAATCTGATGTGATTTACACAGATTTTCTGGGGCCTTTGACACATAATATTCCTCTGCAAAAATTAGCCAACAATTTTGGTTTTCATAGTTATCTGCTTCGATTTTTTTAATCATATTTGTATATGAGATCACAGGGAGTTTCATTTATTAATGATTTCGTGTGTTTAGTTTATGATTCTAAATAGTATATTATGCCACAAGTGCGGTAAACGGCATTTGACTCACGAGGTTATTTGACACGATCCAAGCGCAGCGGAGCGTGTTTTTAATAAACGATAAAAATTAAAAAATAAAAAATTAATAAACGAGTTAAAAAGTTTACCGAACGTGTTGCATACTATACTTTTTCTACGACCGTTGGTTTTTGGGTACACTTTCGCAAAACAACACGAATGCATTCACTGACATGACCGCCAGAATTGACAAACGACAAAATTGAAAGCCTGGGAAATATCTCCGAAAACATCCGATTGCTCCCAAATCCGTGCGGTAAAATCCCGGAAATGTCCGAAGTGGTTCGGAATCATGGGAAACGAAACTGACGTGGTAAAGTGACGCTTCCCGCACGCTAGATCGATGGGTAATTAGGTATTTTACAGACGGGAGTAGAAAAATAGTATATTATGTAACAAGTGCGGTGAACGGCATTTGACTCCCGAGTTTATTTGACACTAGCGGAGAGCAGCGGAGCGAGCTTTCAATAAACGAGTAAGTTAAATAGTTTACCGAACGTGTTGCATACTATACTTTTTCTACGACCGTTAGTTTTTGAGTACATTTTCGCAAAACAACACAAATCCATTCACTGAGATGACGGTCAGAATTGAGAAACGTCAAAATTCAAAGCGTGGGAAATATCTCCGAAAACATCCGATCGCTTCCAAATCCGTGCGGTAAAATCCCGGAAATGTCCGAAATGGCTCGGATTCGTGGGAAACGAAACTGACGGGGTAAAGTGACGCTTCCCGCACCCTAGATCGCGGGGTAATTAGATATTTTACAGGGAGTAGAAAAATACTTTTATGTGCTGATGATTTAAAACTTTATGCTATAATGAAGAATTGTATTGACTAACTAAAACTTAAACAAGCCTTACAGAGAATATGTGGTTGGGCTATAAAAAATAACCTACTTTCATACTCAGAATTCTTTTGTGCTGATCTTTAGCAGATAGAAGAAACAGGTAGAATTTAAATATAAAATATAAAACAGTGTTGGCTAGAGTTGTGGAGATACTGTGTTCCCTTTGATACTCAGTTATGTTTCAACGCACATGTAAATAACATAACAGGTACAGTGTATAGTTTTAAAATAAGCAATTGTGAAAATTGTATCATCATTTGCCCAAAGTATACTTCAATATTGTTCTTTTATATGGAGAATGCCATCGAAAAAGTCCAATATTAGTTTCTGATTTATTTGTATTATCGTAATTATCGCTTCTCCCAAATTCGCGTACCAAGCACGGACATTCTGGAATCATACAATCTTCAAATTCTAAAAAACAGCAGAAATGTGTGTGCAGTATATTTTTATACAAATTGTTAAATCATATTATTAATTCTCCCTTATTATTAAATCAAATTAATATTATAATCTGTTATATGATGTTCCTGCGAATATAACACGAAATTATGTTAATTCGGCAGTTATTGTTTTGTGTAGTCAAATCCGCTAACAGTGTGATTCATGGCATGTTTCGTCAGTTAGTAAGCTTAATTGTAAATTCTTTGAAATATGGATTTAATTATTAATTCGTAAACTTGTATTTCTTAAGTTGTTCCCAGCCTACTCTGTAAATAAGTAAATAAATAAATAAATCAAAATCCCATACCGCATCTTCATTGAGTCCAAAAAACCTAGTAGCAATTAACAAAAAACAACTAAAACTATTTTACTTGTCCAAAAAGTTAAAGGTACGTGGCCCGGTCACCTGCTGTGTCTGTATTGTATTATTTATACCGCTTTTCGCGCAGGTTTGGCCGGTTAAGTTTCGAACCGAAGAAAACAGGATAAAAAGTTCCATTTGTGTGCATATTTTAAAAACTTTAGCCTGCGTACTGTTATGGCTCTGTGGTATTTGTATAGAATGTAAACTACACAACGTAATAGTAATACGGCACTTTTAATCCATTTAGAATGGCTTTGACATCTTTTGAAGAACTGCATACTTTATCGCATTATTTTTGGTTAGTTTTGGGTAAATTCTTAGCTTCATTATTAGGCAACAAAAACCTTTATTTGCTATATTTTTC